GAGTAGCGGTGAGGGTCGATGCGGGGGCGGAGTCGGATTTGGGTGGTGCAGAACAGGGGTGGTGCGGAACAGGGGTCTCCGACTTACTCTGACTTAGCAAATCAACAAGCCAAAAACCACAGCATCCGCCAGTAACGGAACTAATTGCATTACCGCTGCCAGTCCGTATGCCGCCTTCTGTTAATCTCTTCCCCACAAATTTAACAAACGTAGGGAATCCTGCGTGCCAGGGTGGTTTGGACCAAGGACGCGGCTCCGTAACTGGGCGCAGTCGTTCATCAACGCCAATGCCTCATCATACCGGCCTAGGCTATTCCACGTAAAAGCTAATCAGTACATGCTTTGGGTAGTATCAGGATGTTTGTCGCCGAGCACATCCCGCCGCAGTGCCAGCACCTCTGCGTTCATCTTCTCTGCTTCGTCGTACCTCCCTTGCTGGTGGTATGTCGCTGCGATTGAAACCATGCTCCAAATCGTATCGGGATGCTTGTTGCCGAGCACGTCCCGCCGCAGCGCCAGCGCCTCCATATGCATTTTTTCTGCTTCGTCGTACCTCCCTTGCTGGTGGTATGTCGTTGCGAGCTCTGCCATACTCCGGATCGTATCGGGATGCTTGTCGCTAAGCATTTTTTTCCGAAGTTTATACACTCTCCCATCAACTGGCTCCTTTTCTCTCCACCTTCCACGATCGTATAAATAATCTGATACTCGACTTAGCAACGCCGCCGCCTTTTCCTCTCCACACAGCTCCGCCCACTCGCCCACTCGCTGTGCGTGCACAAGGTATTTCTCTCCTTCCTCCCAAAGCTCTCGTCGTCTTTCCGGAAAGAGATCGTTGGCAATACGGAGCGCTGCTTTCGCAAAAAGCGTTTCGTCCTCCTTCGCTCGCAGGCGGTATCGAGCGGCCTCTTGCACCAACTTGTGCATCTCATACGCACGGCCCCAATCGGGTGCGCGTAGGTTCAGAAACGAAAATTGCCGAAGGCGCGTGATGGCATTTATAGCGTTTTCGTCCTCGCTGTCGCTGTCGTCCTCGCTGTCACTTGATTGTGCCCGCCGGCTTTCGAAATGCTTTGCTGCCTTTTTCACCATTTGCTCAGGAATATTCTGGTTGTCCAAAAACGCCAGAATATGCAAAATGTTGTATGCCATTCCATCTTCCTGTCGGATGTGCTCGATGGAAATGTTCCACGTTTCCAGAATGCTGTTCGATACTTCGCATCTCCGATGAACGTCAGGTTCCGATGCTCGAAGAATTCTCCATCGTCTTTTCCCTCCTTTTAGCTTTGACAGATATTCCTTAATCGGCGTTTGCGTCCGCCGAATGTATGCCGCAGCCTGCGAAATCGCGAGCGGGAGCCAGTCGAGTTCGGCAAGCAACGCTGAGGCGTCATCCCGCTCCGTGTCGTCAATGGCTTGGTTTCTTATTGTTTCGAGCAGCTTTACCGCTTCATCTGCCTCCATGCGCGCCACGTTGATTGTTTGTCGAGCAACAACGAGGCTGCCGGCGATCCTCTCGTCACGGGTCGTCCATAAAACCGTCCCGGTAGGGCCCCAGGGGACGAATTGGCGCAGATTTTTTGGCGCGTAATTTGTCGTCGTCCGATGCGGCTGCCCGCTCGCGCCCGGCGATTTCCAACCCACGCCAAACAATCCGAGGTTGTCGGCGTTGTCGAGGATAAGCACCCAAGAAGGCTCAGCTTCGATACGGTCCCGCACCGCCGCTAGCAGCTCTTCGTCTTGCAGGTTCGCCGGCAAGCGCAATTTCCTCGCAATCGATTGGTAATCCTGCGTGAACGTCGCCTCGTTGTCGGCATGCACCCAAAAGACCGAACAGGGTGCACTGTTATGCCACCGGCGGTACGCATATTCGAGCGCCACCTGCGTTTTCCTGCTTGCTCGTCAGTCGTTATTTCTAACAAAAGTTTGGATTGAGGCAGCCTCACCCGGACCCGCCCAGGCCCCATAGCGCGGCGGTTTGCGACTCGGCCCGCGACGGGAGCAGCCTGTCAAGCTCTAAGAAGATGCCGCCACGCTTCACAAGGGCTTCATTACGCGGAAACGGTATGGTGTGATACCGCGGGCGCTTGGTTTCGCCAATAGCATTTTGGATTCGGCTTTCAAGGCGTTAGCAATCAGGGCGTATGCTCCAAGCTGGATTGCAATGTTACTTACTCGAACAGTTGGCTCAGCTGCTCTGTAAAACCTCCTTGGTCGCCGCTCCTAGCCGGCGCTTCGCCACCCTTCACACCCTTCATGATGTAGTTGAGGATTGTATTAAACTCATGTATAAAGCTGGATAGAAGGTTGCAGGCCATAAACACCCCGGCATCTCCATCGCCTTGCTGAACGCCTCGCATCTGAGAAGGTGGCTCCAGCCTGTGCTCCACAAGTTGCTGAATGGAGAGCGTGAAGCTCTTTGCGTGACCGTGCAGCTGGCCCAGCACCATCTCGTCGGCCTTGGTGAGGGACCTATCGGCGCGCTTATACAAAAAGTAATGGTTGAATATGTTGAACAGGTGCTCGGCCAGGTCCGTAAGCTGCACTTCAAAGGTTACGTCGCGATATTGCCCGGTTCGGTAGCTAAGGCGATAGTTGAGGGTTTCGTAGGCGCCGAACTCGAACTTCTTCCATTTCTGGCCGATTTCGCGGTCGGGCAAAAAGTGGGTGGGCTCGCCCTGTTGCGAAAAGGTCCGCTCGATGAATTCCTTGGCTTTGGTGAGCTGGTTTCGGAATGGCACGACAATCTTTAGCCCGGCTAGGTCGTGTATGTGGCGTAGCACGTCGTCCAAGCTTTCGAATCGCTTTCCTTTGTTTTTGGCGAGATGATCGTTACGTCGCCGAAGGGACTTGTCGATAGACTCGACCTCTTTGACTCGCGCGGAGAGCCCAGCATGGATGCCTTCGTTCATGAGACCTTTTTCCAGCAACTCCTTGAGCCCCTCCGTCATCCCCTTATAGTCACCTTGCACGGCGGGCCAGACGTTGTTGATAAACGTTTCTCTCAGGAGCTTGCTCCGCTCCTCGGGGTCGCCCACGTTTGGCACCTGCTGGCCCCCAATCAAGCTGTCGATTTTGGCCCGGAGTTGCCCTGTCGTTGCCGGGGGTTGAGACGAGGAAAACGCGGTTTCAGTGAGCGCCTGAGTCTCGGGGGCAAGTTGCTCGTCTCCTTGGGCAGTGGCCTGAGATGTAGTACCTTGGGCGGGCGGAAGGAGTTTCGTCAGAGGTCGCTTCTTTGGGGGTCCTTCCTCGTCTGCCTGAGATGTTTGACATTCTGTTTCCATTGTAACTTTACTTTGCGTCCTGTGATCGAAGCGATGTCTGGAAGATCAAGTTCGGAATAGGATAAAGCCTAGGCTGTCTTGCGTGCGACGTAGTCCAACTGAAATGTTACGGTGGTGGGAAGAGGAATTGTAGCAACAAAAGTCGAGGGCAGGCTGGGGAATGAGGGGTTATCCTCCGTCTCTTTTCGGGCCGAAGGAGGCCCTTTTGCCTAAGCTGAATCTGCACTTTCCATGGTGGCTTGGCCATACAAAATCTGACGTGGCGCTGCAAACTTGACGGCGTGGTCATGCCCAGGTAATAAATATTTAATGCTCGTTCCAGCTGGGCTTTTAAATGCGGCTGCAATCGCAGCCGACTGAAAGAAAAATAAATAAGGTAAAAAATAGAATATGACCACCCCGCAACTGTCCTATGAGGATTTCATCGTGGCTCGAAGCCGAACAAATCCCTGCATCAGTGGCCTGGCTCGGTACGTTAAGCAGCCGCCGTTCGCCAGTGCTAGCAGACTTGTCGTCGTCGATTACCCCGCAGACGAAAACAAACCTCCAACCCCGCAGGAAATCACAGCACCCGAGCTCTCTAAGCTATTGGCCTGCCCAAACTTGTCTACAGCCGGACCACGTCCTCAAATGCGCGTCGTTCTCGTCGAAAACATCCAGCCTCAAATACTGATCATCCTTGGTCGGATCCTCAAGGTGGACCCGGTATTTTTCGCAGGCCACGTCAACACCGACTTTCAAGACATCGAAAAGGCGCCCCTTCCGCCCTCCCTTGCCTTTTTTCCATCGCAACTTGCCGAAAATGGGTTTTTGTATGTCCATTATCAGCAGGTGGTCGACCTAGGCAATTCGTCGACGTTCGATGCCTTGCCGTACGCTCTCAAGACGGACTCGAGCCCCCCACGTAACGTCCGCCGACTGCCTCCCCTGTCGGGAAGACAACTTGCTTTTGCGCGGGGATGTTGCTCCATGTTATCGCGAAGGATGAGCGACGGCTTGTGGATTTGTGAGTATCCCTAAGACTTAGCCCCTAACCCCTATAAGCCCTGACCAATCTGCTTTAGGCCTCATTCTAGTTGATCCCCCAGTTAATTCGGTCATCGCCACTGTAAATGCGGGAAATATAACAAAGCATCCAAGCAAGCCTCTACATGGTGGCTTCGAAGACTTCATACAGCCGGCACCCTTCTCATCCTTCGAATCGGCCACCGGAAACATCGATTATAGCTTGCAGGATCCTCCCCACCAGAGGTCCATGCTCGGCAGCCTCGTCCACTACTTCGTCAACCACCGCCGGCTGCAGGGGTTTTCCGCCAATGCCATGCCATCGAGCGTCCTTACAATAGGCTACTACCCGGTCCGCATCGCGCTGGCCGAGTGGGTTTTCTACACTCACCTGGCCAGCCGATATGTCAAATTCTATAAGTATACCCTGCGGGACGTCCACACTCGGCTGCACGACAGCGACATTGTCGATCTCCAGCGCTGGCGGCGACGGTGCAAGCAGAGCCAACACAAGCTCGTCCTCCTCGCCGAGTTCGTCCACCACTGGCTTCCTCGCAAGCAGCAAGAGCAGCGGCTAGGGGACGACAATGATATCGACAAGCAGCTGCAGCCTTGGGACCTGGTTCTCAAGGATATCGGCTTTTTGCAATCGCAGCTCAAGGACCACAGCCACTCGCTGGAACAAACGATCCCTGTGGCGACGGCTATGGTACAGCTGCTCGATTCGCGGCAGTCGATCGCCCAGTCGGCCAACGTCACGCGGCTAACCTATATCGCCCTCGTTTTCGTGCCGCTTTCCTGGGTCGCGGGCCTGTTCAGCATGTCTGAGAGGTACTCGCCAGGCGGGAACGGCGAATTCTGGGTGTACTGGGCCACGGCGCTGCCGCTACTCCTGGTGGTACTGCTTCTGTCTGCTTTCTCACGGATGCAAAGGCCGCTGGAAAGCCTTAACGGCTTGTGGGAGAGCGCTTTGAAAAGGTAGCATGTTGGGGCGCGAGCTAAGGATGAATCAAAGTTGGCGAACATTTAACGCATCCAAGCAACTGTAAACTTACGCCAGCCCAGATCGACCCGCCATATCCACGATGGTGCAGAAGGGCTGGTCTTGCGGCTACAGCCGTCCATCGGCCGCGCTCGATAAACTGTCAACCAAAATATCCAATGCGCCGCAGCAGCCCGACTGTGGCCAGTGCGACGCGGTGGCAGAAGTCAGCCGGCCGCCGCGCGAAGCTGAGGTTGTGATGATTCACTACGGGCTAATCGCGTCGGGCGGTCGCGTAATGAGGAGTGCTGCGCGCAAAAACGCCACAGGCTGAGAGATAAGCTATATACTTTGTTTCGAAATGGAAGCGGCGAGGATCATGACCGAATTTCCGTGCCTTGTTATCCGCGGTGTGTCGGATTACGCAGACTCTCACAAGAATGACGGGTGGCAGCACTACGTTGCAACGACGGCTGCGGGGTGTGCCAAAGAACTTCTTTCGCACGTGAGTCCGGCAAAGCCCGCGAAGCCGGCGTCCATGTCCGTGGATGGCGACAGCGAAATGGACAGTTCTGGTAGGCCTCGTTCGCAGGGCTCCGGGACTTTCTCCGTGGGCGCGACATAAACATCGGGCGCTAGGTCCGGTGACAGCGCGAAAGGGGTGGTGCATGGATGATGGCACTTTGTTTGTGATATTCCTACAATGCTTCCGCTAAAGATAAACTTTAAAGTTTGGTGTGCAACAAAAGTGAAGGCATACGCGCTTGTAGTCTATCGTAACTGGCTTGCTTGGGCCCTCTGGTGTACCGCACTCCTCCTGCCCTGTAAGAGTTAGCACCGGAAGCGGGGCAAAAATGGATCTGCCACGAACTTCCGCCCGCGGGATTGCTCAGAAGCTGTCGCTAACGCACGTATCGCGGTGCCGCCTATCGTGGAACCATTCACCTTTCGCCAACCGCGCACGAATCACCGCGTTAGAAGGCGGCCATTGGTTAGAGGTGCGTTGGCGATAGCTGACAGCGATTCCAGCGTCTGTGCCGGTTAAGCAGGCACCCTAGGGATTGCCGCCGCTGATCCCATTGGGCTCCAGCAGACTGCGACTCCACGCAGGGAAACGCGTCCGAACGACCGAACAAACCTCGCGTCCGTGGCTGCTCCCTGTTCACAGTGCAGACATGACGCTAACACATTTCTGGACAATTCTTCAGCGACTGCGTTAATAAAAGCACAGCAGCGACAAATGTTGAATATTATTAACACTGTAACGCCACAGCCACTGCGCCGCCCCGCCTGAGCCGTTGCCGAGCGAGCGTTCAGCAGTCAGGTTTTGCAGGTAGGGTGGCAAGTCGGCTCTGATATCCACAGACGAACCTTCGATTGTGAACGCACGACCGTAAAGTAGCAGACAGGCAACGCTGCCAGCTCTGCGCCGGCCGCGGCTGCAACATAGAAACCCTCGCCGGCTTCGACCTTGCATCCATTCCCTCACGTCTAGCCGTGAAGACATGGGGCCCTACGGCGGCGGCAGCATGCTGCCCAAGTTTAGTAGGACTGCGACCGCCATTGTCAGCCCACGCCCAACAGCCCCGGCTGCCACATACCGACTCCAGCCGATTCCTGCACGTGCCTTGGGCCGAACTTTCCTAGAGGCAGGGAAACGTCATCTGCAAAACCGCACGCCTTTAACATGCGGGCCGGTTGCGAATCCAATACGCCCGTCGATCCCACTACATACGCCGGATCCAATGCACCCACCGAATCCGTCGCGACAGAGTCCGATACGAACCAGCAAGTTCTGGGCGATGAGCAGAACCTCCACTCTCCAGCCGACGCGTGTGAGCCATCAGAACGTTCGACCTCGGGCATATCGACTTCAGGTAAAAGTTGGGCATACTTAAAATCCCCATTCTGTTCAATCCATACGCAAATAACGCCGTAACGCTAATATAATTTTCGCATTTTGGTAAAAAGTAGCCTTGCCATCTTTCGACTTATACTCCATGTTGGCGACCATAAGCGCTGGCTAACGCGGGCAAACTTTTCGCGCGGCACGCAGTTCCCTTCGCCACGGCGCTGATGACGGCCGAAAAGTCACGCTTCATGCAGATAGCGCCGAATCCATTAACGCGGCCGCCCTGCTCGAGCCGCGCCAGCACGTCGCACTCCCCCTCGTTGCGCCGCCAGCCCCACCACGTCCCACTCTGTCGGCGCGAAGTTGGCGTCGCTGAACGTCTCGGTCAGCGCGGGCTGGACACGCGGTGTCGGCAACACCCTGGAATATTTTGCGGCTGTAAACGTCCAGCCCAACATCGCCGCGGCCGATGAGGGGGGAAGGGCTTGACAAAGCACGACCTTGGCGCCGTCTAACTCGGCGGTGCGGTCGAACTCGCGCAGGAAGAGGCTGCACAGGTTCACAGGCGCAGCCTCGAGCGTGGCGGCGGGGTTGTCGGGCGCCTCGACCGTGGGAACGGACGCCGCCGACGAAGCCGTAGTGCAGGATCTCGGACGGCACGGCAGCGGTGTGCGCGAGGTAGCCGGCCGCGGCCTCCTCATCCTAGGGCGCGCCCATGCTACTAGGGACACGTAAAAAGGATGCGTCGACGAGGGCGGCCCTATTGTGCTTTGGCCAGAGAGGTGGCTTGGTAGGCAGTTCAGGCAGGACGAGGATGTAAGCGGCCGGTGGGCTCGCCAGCCTAGCGGACGCATCAGGAACGCCAGCGCGAGGTACCTTTCCGTCAATTACGCTCAAGCCCGCTTCCTAGATACGGCTTTAGGCCTTCAGCCGACGCTAGTTGGAGCGGTCAATTGAAGCCCTCTACAAAACAACGTGATTTAACACCGTTGCGCATCGATTTGCAGCTTTTGACGTCGCTACGGGCCCAGTTCGTGGAGGCTGAGCCACTAACTCCTGATTCACCCAATAAGCGCGGCTCCCAAACAAGAATGAGGCGCCAACGACATGCCGACCGTCGTGGCGGTTCAGCCTGGCCCGCGGCCGCTGTTGGCGGCCTCCAGCCCCTCGCCTTCTTCATCCCGCACTTGCCGCTGTTCACCTCCAACTCCCGCTGCAAGCCATCGATAATCCCCAAAGATAGCCCGCAATGCCTGGCGACCACATCCGGCTGCTCGCCCTCGACGGCGGCGGCGTGCGCGGCCTGGCCTCGCTGATGATCCTGCGCAGGCTGATGGCCGCCGTCAACCCCGCATCCCCGCCCAAGCCTTGCGATTATTTCGATTTGATCGGCGGGACCAGCACCGGCGGCCTTATCGCGATTATGCTCGGCCGCCTGCGGATGACCGTCGATGAATGCATCGCGGCTTACACATCCCTGTCGGACAAGGTGTTCGAAAAGAAAAGCCATCGGGTCAACATCAAAGGCCAGCTCAAGGGCCGGTTCGATGCTGCCGAGCTAGAGGCCGCCATCAAGAAAATCCTTGGAAATCGCGGCCTTGACGAGGATGCGCTCCTCAAGGACGTCGACGCGTCTTGCAAGGTGTAAGTTCAAGTCGCCTTTTGGCTCGAAACATGCTAATCCGTGTTTTGGACTATTAGCTTCGTCTGCGCAACGAGCAAGCAAACCGGCGATATCGTCTGCCTAGCCGGCTACCACTCCCCACGTAGCGACAATTCCGACCTTCTTGAATCGATGATGTGGAAGGTGAAATGCAGGCAACACTGCCTGGAACGTGGATTGTGTTGTGCACTAGGCTGAAAGCCTGTGCAGGGCACAGGCCCGGGAGGGCTAAATGGGCCTGGTAGGGCACGTGCATTGGGCACGGGCCTACCTCCGACAGATGACAATCTGGCAAGCCTGCCGCGCCACGTCTGCCGCCACAACATTTTTCGACCCCATCGCCATTGGCCCCTTCGGGGAGGAATTCGTCGACGGTGCGCTGGGCGCGAATAACCCCGTGTATGTGGTGTGGAACCAAGCCCAGGACGTTTGGGGAGACCAGCTGCAACGCAAACTTCGATGCTTTGTGTCGATCGGGACGGGCGTACCGAACCTGAAGCCGGTGCGCGACGATGCCCTTGGGATTTGGAGCACGCTCAAGGAGCTGGCGACAGAGACAGAGAAGACGGCGCAGCAGTTCCACCGCGACAAGTCTGCCTTGGACGACGAAGGGCGCTACTACCGTTTTAACGTCGACCACGGGCTTGAAGAGATCGGGCTCGAGGAGTCCAAGAAGAAAGCAGAGATTGCAGCGGCGACGCGGCGTTATATCGAATCCCAGGCCGTGTTCAAGCAGATGAAGGCGTGCGCAAATGATCTAGCGTTACACGAGTGTTAGTGCAGCTATCCCTAAATCGAAACCGACGTTTTCCCCCTTAGGAATGTTCCTTCGTATTTACTAACGCTGAGTCAGACTTCGGCCCCTACCGAACTCCCTTTAGCCTCCAAGGTATGCCTATATCGGACAACTTCGTTGACAGACCATCCGACGCGGCCGTGCTCGAACGACACCTCCTTCCACAGCCCCACTTGCCACAGACGCGGCAACGGGTGTTTGTCCTCCATGGGCTCGGGGGCATCGGGAAGACGCAACTGGCTGCAGACTTTGCGCGGCGCCATAAAGCTACCTTCAGTTCCGTTTTTTGGCTGGACGGCAGGTCCGAGGACCGGGTACGACAAAGTTTTGCCAGCTGCGCAAAAAGAATTCCTCAAGGCCAAATCCCTGACAGGAGCAGGAACATGGTCCCCAGCAGTGAGGACGATCTCAACGTCGTGATAGCGGACGTTATGGAATGGCTGGCACAGCCGGATAACGTCGACTGGCTGCTCGTTTTTGATAACGTCGACCAGGACCACGAACAGGGTGGTGCGACTGGCGCATATGATATTCGAAAATACCTGCCTGCGGACCACGGGTCGGTGCTGATCACCACACGCCTATTACGGTTGGAACAGCTCGGCGATGCTGAAAAGCTGAAAAAGGTCGATGAAAAGCTGAGCAAGGCAATTTTTCAGCGATGGTGTCGAGCAGAGCTAGGTATGCACTATTTATGCAAACTGGGTTCAAAGCTAACCTGGCTGCAGTAATGGACGAGGTAGGTATAGCACTACTCGGCCTGCTAGATGGCCTGCCGCTGGCGCTCGCACAAGCCGGCGCTTATATCCGGGAAACAGAGCTCGACATGGCGTCGTACGTTCGCCTTTACAGAGACCAGTGGGACGACATGATCGAGTCTGAAAAGACCGGCACGCCGCTAGCGGACTACGAACAACGAAGCGTGGGAACCACATGGACGATATCGTTCAAAGCGGTCGAGGCGAGAAGCAAAAGTGCAGCAAACCTGGTCCGTCTCTGGGCCTTCCTTGACAACCGCGATCTGTGGCACAGCCTTTTGCAAAAGACAGTAGATGGACAATGGTGGCCGGCCTGGCTTTGTGAGATTGCATGCAACGAGATCAAGTTCATGGATGCAATTCGGCTGCTGCTCCGCTACTCGATGATTGAGGCTCAAGAGTCCGTATGCAGAAGTTATATGGTGCATCCCGTGGTGCATCGGTGGACGGCGCACATGCAGGACGGCCCTGGGAAAAGAGACTTTGTGAGGTTGGCGATGATGGTGGTTGGGTCAATCGTACCCAGTAGCACCGAGAAGGACTACTGGATTCTGCAGCGGCGACTTTTCCCGCATGCGGAGCGGTGTGTATGGTGGACGAGAAACATTGGTAAAGGTGGCAAGGCTAAAGAGACCTTGGAAGAAAGACAAGTGGCGTATGCAATGAGCCGCTTAGGCAGCCTCTACTCCGACCAAAGCCGCCTTATCGAGGCTGAAGCTCTTTACGAACGGGCGCTACAGGGCTTTGAAAAGGCGTTCGGGCTGGACCACAGGTTAACGCTCAACATCGTCGACAACCTGGCCGCCGTCTATTTCGACCAGGGCCGGCCAACCGAGGCTGAGTCCTTATTCGGGCGGGCGCTGCAGGGCAAAGAGAAGGCGCTCGGGCCGGATGACCAATCGACGCTCGACACCGTCAACAACCTCGCCAGACTCTATTCCGATCAAAACCGGCTTGCCGAGGCCGAAACGCTATTCGAGCGGGTGCTGCAGGGCAGAGAGAAGGCGTTCGGGCCGGACCATACATTAACGCTCGAAGCTTTAAATAACATGGCTAATCTATGTAAAGCTCGAGGCCGGCTCGCTAAGGCCGAGTCCCTATATAAACGGGCGCTGCAGGGCAAAGAGAAGGCGCTCGGGCCGGACCACCCATCGACGCTCGACACCGCCAACAACCTGGCCGCCCTCTATTGCGACCAGGGCCGGCCGACTGAGGCCGAGTCCCTATTCGAGCGGGCGCTGCAAGGCAAAGAGAAGGCGCTCGGGCCGGATGACCCATCGACGCTCGACACCGTCAACAACCTCGCCAGCCTTTATTCCGATCAAGGCCGGCTCGCCGAGGCCGAAACACTATACGAGCGCGCTTTGCAAGGCTATGAGAAAGCGCTCGGGCCGGACCACCCGAAATCCCAAATAGTTCTGCGAAACATGCAGCTTTTAAAGCAGCCTTAAGGTATGCCTATTTTTGGTAACCTTCTGGCCCGTATGTTACGACCAGACGTGAGGGCTGGAGGTGAGGCGAAGGCCTGATGGCCTGAGGCGCTGGGAGAACGCTAAGGCGGATGCGCTCCCACCCCGCTTTCTGGGGAACCACGTGATCAAGGCTTAAGTAAGCCAGGGTGATCTGCGATCTCACAACAGATCACAGATCAAAGGAAGTGATCTGTGCCTATCGGACGGATCACGGGGGATACAGGGAAACAGGATGCGTATAAGAAGGAAGGATTTCCTATTGTCCTAGATAGCTTTGACTGAGGCTTCGGCATCAGTCAACCTAAGTTAGCTTCAAGGTACCCCCTTAAGCAAGCAACCAGACCTTTGTCACCAAGTTTACCCAGTTTCCCCTGCACCCCTTGTTAAGTGTACTGTTCAGCAAACAGGACCGACCCTTTTCGCACCGCGCAATGGTGTGGAAGTGAGAGTGGCGGGACCAGCGTTTCCGGTTCTCTTCCGCTGCGTCTGGTCCGGCCCTGTAGCTGAAGAGGCGCGACGCCTCGCCAACTCTTCCCAACAACGCAGCATGATGCGATTCGCCGGGCTGCATTAGGCCGCGACCGCCACTTTGACCAGATTAAGCCATGGCCTAATCTCTGCATACACGCCCAGCCGCCGAATCGGAAAATGTGAAATTCCAGGTGGGTGGACCTCCCAGCTGCAACCTACGGCATAATTAGTCCCCTGACACCCTCCCCAAGTTCGCTTACTATTTCGAGCCAGAAGATATTTCTCAGTTCCCTCATAGCGACGGCCGTCGTCTCATATCAACGCGTCAGGCCGATTCGCAGGCGTTGCCGTTCAGTAAGATTGTCGTATCTGCTCGACGTGCGGGAGAGATATCATGGCAACGCCTAGCGTGCCCCAGGCTATGGACGGCTAGCGCCGGGGAATCATACAGCATCAAGGCCCCGGAAATCACAAGTATGAACCGATCTCGATCTACATTACCACCAAACGGTATCGCTGACACAGGATCCTCCAGCAAGTACGAGAATTATACGCATGTCGAATATACGTTGACTGCAAACCGTATGCCTTCGCGGCCTCATATCTAACGCAAAACTATCTGACATACAAACGCACAAAGCAATGATCACTGCCTCAAGTACCTGGCAGAAGCCGACCCGCACGAGATCAAGACGCGCATCGAGGAGACCAAAGGCGGCCTGCTCAAGGTCGCGTCCAGCTGGATCCTGCACCATGCTAACTTCCAGCAGTGGCGCAACGGGGACAGCCAGCTGCTCTGGATCAAGGGCGATCCCGACAAGGGCAAGATTATGCTCCTTTGCACTATTATCGACGAGCTGGCTGGGAAAACAAAGCTACGAGACCCAGGAGCTACAACACTGCTTTCCTACTTCTGCCATGCCACAGATGCGTCCCTCAACAATGCCACAGCCGTCCTACGCGGTCTTATCCCGATACGGTCCGAAGCATGGCCTTACTCGCAGCGGCATATTCCAATCGAAGGAGAAACGGCGAAGCAGAAAATATGAAAATGAAAGTGCTGGCACTACGACGCGACGTGCTCGGCGAAAAACATCCCGATACGATCTGGAGCATGGGGGGTTTGGCAGCGACATACCACGATTAAAGGAGGTACAACAAGGCAAAAAAAGATATACATGAAAGTGCTAGCACTGCGGCGCGACGTGCTCGGCGACAAGCATTCAGATACGATACGGAGCATGTACAACTTGGCTATTACGTGGAATAGCCTGCGACGGTACGATGATGCACTGGCGGTGATGGATAACTGTGTTCAATTACAGAGTCGCGTCCTTGGTTCGAACCACCCGCACGCGCAGGATTCTCTACGTGTATTGGAACGATGGAAAAGGAAGAAGGCAAGGCATTCGCGGTTCGGCGTATTAAAAGGAACTAGCAGAAGGTGGCATACGAACTGGCAGCGGTAAATACCATGTGTTCGCCCTTTGGTTGTCACGGCGTGCGGTATATGTAACCGTTAATGGCGGACTGCTTAGGTTTCGCGACGCTGCTTTTTACCCTGGCGGTTCCCCTACACAGCCCTGTCCTGGAGCGCCCTGAACAAATACTGGGGATGCTGGCGTGGACGAACCTGAGGCGCAATGCGTTCGTGGCTGCGGTATAGGCCTAGCCTTCCTTCCCGTCCGTCTCGACCATCACCTTGACTCGCGAGCAGATCTGCGCTTCTAGTGCTCGTAGGACGCCGCTACCGCATTCTACCAGCAAGCTAGAGCTCCGTTGCTCCATTATACTCTACATGTCGTAAACCTTACCCATGCGATGGCTTACGACGGAATAGGACTTAAGCACGGTTGGAAATAGGGCCCAGGCAGCCAAGTATTATATCTTTCCAAACAGAGCTACTAACAAATGCTAGATCAGCGGGTAGAAGAGTGCAAGGAGCGACAGATTCATCAGGAGATATGGCGTTTGCAGTAGTGGCAGCCGCTAGGAATGAAGCGCGACGCTCCCTAGTCCTACCCGCTTTTCCCCCAGTCCGGACCTTAGAACAGGGGCGCAACATCCAGAAACCAGCTGCTGCAATGCCTCCAGATGGCCCTTCTGACCTTTTTGCAGTGAAGAGATTTATTTAACGGACAAACTTTAACGCTACTTGCTGCATCCCTTGGGTTCTGCTTCTATCCGATTGTTCCATCTCCCACGAACTTGCCCGTTTGACATCCATCAAAATACAATCTACCCAAACCTAGAGTTAAATTCTAAGGATTATTTTAATCCTTTTCTTAGGTGGCTCCTCTGTGCTATCGCTCGCCTCAGACGTCCTTTTCTTATGTTTAACCAGCTTGATCCGCCTCTTTTTTCCACCGTCAAGCGGGGGATCGTGTGGGGAAGTCGGCGTAGGAGGCGGCGTGACGCCGGAGTTGGGCGGCGGGAGGTCGACGTTATCATCCTTGCAGTCGTGGCTAGCTCCGAGGAAATCACCATCCAACGCGATTTGTACCATATCGTTGGTAAGGCCGGTTTGGTCGCTGTTGCTGCCGCCGTCGCCGCCAGGACTGCCGCACACTTGTAGGGGCGTATCATGCATCTCTTGGCAGAATATCTCTGCTGGGTTCACATAAGGGAACGGGGCAAGGCCAGAGGCTATCGCATCCGCTGGCGGGAGGGAGTAGGGATCGTCGCTTGCCGGATCGTGAGCCGACAGTATCGAACCTGGAGGACTCTGCTCCAGAAGCATCCCGGGATCCTGGGGAATTTCTCGTTAGGGTCAAATCTTTTTAAAATTCCCACAGAATTTACTTACAATCAAGGCAGAGCACTCCTCCACTCCGTCATTGTCTAGAGACGATGGCGAACGAAGCAGAACATCGCCGCTTCCAGCATCCCCGTCCTCCGACCAGCCCTGGATCTGGCAACTGTCGGGCGGGGACACGTGGCCTTCGAAAGGCGACGGCAAAGACGCAGCAGCCGCTCGATGTCGACATGCTGTTTGGACCGTCTCATCAACGAAGTGGTAGGTGTCGACCTTAGCTTCCCTATCAAGCTCGGCGCTTCGCTTCCGCTGCCTCTTGGCCGGTGCCGGTTTCACGTCATCGTTCTCTTCTAGCTCCAGCGACGTTGACTCCTTGACAAAGTCTCGGCAGTGGGCGTCCAGAAGATGGAATTTGAGATGCTTCACAGAGTCGAATGCGCCACCGCATCGAATGCTAGGATAAGGGCAGGTAACCGGCTTCTTGTCGTCAACAGCTTGGACGTATCGTTCGTAATGATCAAAAACATGGTCTTTCCATGGGCCTCTGTCCAGAAACTGACGAAGGCGCAGCTCAGGCTCCAGCGATTTGTCCGCTATGCAAAACAAGCAGTAGCCGGCGGTGGCAAGCACTCCACCGTAAAGAAGGGGGTCGCACTGCACAGGGAGCTCGTCCGGGCAAGCAAGATGCGAGCGGCAGTGGTCGCTCCATTCGAGTTTGCCGAACACCCACTTGTTGCACAGAAAGCAAAGCTCGACAAAGCCACTGCGTGTCTTCTTGACGCAGCTGTAGATGTGTTTCCAGTCGTAAGTGGGTTGTCTGGCGCCAGCGGCGGGGGCAGACTGGGGCAGGTTCCGGCGAAACATGGGGTCGGCACATCGACACTTCTCGGGCTCCAGCCCCGGCCGAAACTTGACTTCTGCGTCTGCCTCGCATAAAGCGATCATATCGCCGAGGGCTTGGAGACCGGTCGGGCTCCGCAAGGTGTCAGTCTCGAAGAGGCTCGACGCGAGGCGGTCCCGTTCGGGCATTAGGAACTTGACACGGTTGAAAATGCCCCGGTGGTAGCATGGCGGGGACGTGGCGGTCCCGGACGTGCCTGTGCCGTGTGGCTGAGTCTTTTGCCATTGTCGGAGCTCACGGTCGGCCAGCCTTCTCTTCTCTTCATAGAGCTTTTTGCGGAGCGAAGTCGACTTCTGATCCTGTCGCCCTGACAAAGTTGCGGCCTTTTTCTCAATTGCGATGAATTCGGGGCTGGCCTTCAATGCTTCCTGCTTTTCTGCCGGCAGAGACTGCGGAAGCAAGGGATTGCGCGGCACGGTCAAGCCGCGAAAAAGATCGTTGACGATGCTGCGCACTTCCTGGCCGAAGTAGCTCGCCTGGCCGTCTGTGCCGCTGTTGTTGGGTTGGTAGTGTTTGTTGTAGGTGGCAGGGTCGATGTGGCCTGCGTGCTTCATCCTTTGGGCCTCTGAATAAAGCTTATCTATCGGGCGAATCGGTCAGCGAAAACCAAGGGGGAAAATGAGGGACTAAGAAAGAGCCGCGCAGTACACATACCGATCCAGTACAGACCCTCCGCTCTAAAGTCGTGGATGGTAGGCGGATGGGGATACCCGGCACGGAAACCCAAAGCCCGAAGCCGTTTGCTGAGCGCTTTTGCCGATTCCATCTTGCCAGCGGTCTTCCTCGCGGACATGCTTTTGAAAAAGGGTTGGTCAAGAATGCTGTCCTTCCATCGCAGGTGGACCATCTCGCCTTCTGGTGGTTTTATGTCAAGGAAGTCTTTCAGAGTGTCGTAATCTCTGAACGCTTTGGCTGCGATAAGGATAGCCAGCATTGGGAGCATCGCGTTGCAGATTAGAGGCATCGGACCCAACCCCTCATACAGCGCATGCTCGGGCCTGGATCAACACAACTTAGAACAACGAATTAAGCTGATGCTTTCCGGGGAGAATACGTACCTTTTATCAGGGTTGTCTGTCATGCCCTTGGCATCTCGGACGAGCTGGATGGCGAACTCCGCATTACCATGCTCGTTACGAAACACGCCAAACGTCACGTCCTGTGGCCCGCGAACGAAGTGGCAATTAGCATGCCGTTATAAGTCAGTATTCGCAGCGCAGTGTGTGCTCACCTTGTAGTACATGCCACGACCCGAACCTGCCCGACAGGTGGACTCGATGTATTCGCCGATACGTGCAGAAGAACAAACAATCGCCATGAAGTCGGCCCAGTCGTAGACTCTTGTTGCAGGCCTCTCGTATTCGACCCAGTCGTTCCCCCACAGCTGATGCCCAAGATGGACGAAGTGGTTCTTCGTGCCAAACCTCCTAAGTCGTTTGCTCTTCACCAGCCTGATCTTGCTTTCTTGTAGTATCTCGGGCAGCTCGGACTTGATGAACTACGCCAAATTTGTCAGCCGGGATTATCTAAAAGGATTGAGGATTGAGGATTGAGGAACTGCTCGGGGGCGGACGCACATTTGTCACAGACGGTGTGATATTAGCGGGGATGGCCTCATGTTCACGGCGCCAACCGGCCATGAACTGCTTCCAGTATAGCATGACCGTTCCTTGGCCAGGGTTCGGATCGCCTTCTGCGCCGTCGATGCCAAATGCAATCTCCTTGATAAAGTCCTTCAAGGATTTAACCTTGTAAGGACTCGGGTCGTCTCGAGCATGGTCTTCAGCGTACCTAGATGGCCGACGTGTCAGCAGTACCATGGCTAAAAAGGCCGAATCCAGTGGGGAGGAAGGAGAACGTACTGGTTCCAGAGGCCGATCATGCGTCCGTACTCTTTCAGCACCTTGGGTGTGACATGCTTGAAGACAGCAGAATCATTGATCCTGTCGTTGCATTGTTCAGAGCCCCTCTCTCTCCCCTTGCCGAAGAATTCTCGCGGGCTTTTCCTTAGCGCCATTGTAGGACTAGAGCCTCGCTTTCTGGAAGCAGGACGAGGCAAGACGGCGGGAGGGTTGTCGATCGCTACGAAGTAGGGACGGAGCGAATGGGGGCTGCTGCGACCTTTTATGGGCGAGAATTGCGGCGCCCGTCCTCAGCAGCAGGAGGCAGCAGGCCGACGGCACCTCCGCGGCATCATCGAGTGGACAGCCGGGCAATGGGCGCCTGGACATGACGGGAAGGGTGGGAGCCAGGAGCCGGGCCTCTGGCCAATCTGGGCTGGGCCCCTCTCCTGGCAGCGCGGCGGCGGCGGCATTCTCGTCCATGGCGGGAGTACGCCTGGAATAGGGTCGTCGACAAGATCGTGGGGAAGGTCGAAGCGATGTTGGCCGTGAATGTGCCATGGGTGCGCGTTGGTGTGGGAAGGAGGTGGTGTCGTGGTGATTTTATCCCTGAGCATCACTGAGCGGGGGTGAGCAAGGGTGACGCGAGCCTGAGCTGGTGCCAAAATGCTGACTAACCCGATTGGGACAATTGGCCAAAGGTTTTCGGGAGAGACTACCAAAGTAGGCGATGGCATGCTCCATACCAGCCTTCCACAGAATCTGTACCAACCCTATGATGAGTCCCGCCGCTGCGTCAACCGGGCGCCCCTCGCCCATCCACACAAGGACCCGGAATGCCTCGCGGTACATGATGCTCGTATGAACAGACTCCGACGCCCGCTCTTGTCGGTCCGTATCGTCGGCGCAAATGGGCTGAATCCAAACCACTCTTTTCCTGAGCATGCGCCCCAGGTGGCTGAGGAGCGCATCAACCTGCCCGTCGACGAGCCCCTTTTTATCGTTCAGGATGATAGGGCACGCGGCGCTGGGTCGCACGGATTTGCAGAGGGAGACGGCTTCGAATGGTGGTAGATTGCCGATGTCGTAGGTGATCAACCTGGCCCGGGGAATTGGAAAAGGTATGGCTCTTTCAATTTCCAAAAGTCGAACTTGCTTGGCAGGGTCGATGGGCGAGTATTCAAAAGCAGGGAGCTCATGGTATGGCGTTTTGCTGAGGGCTCTTTGCAGAATCCCGCTCCTCGCCACCGAGCGCCCAAGCCAACTGCACACTGAAGTGGCCGAAGCCACGATCCGGGGGGGAAGAGAAATGACAGCCAGGCCGACAGCCGGGCCGATAGATGCGGCGAGAAAAAAAAGGAACCCGCCGAGAAGCTGGGCGGCTCCTTCAAACACAGCCATCGACACCAGAGCGACCACTAAAAGGACGATGTGGCGCCAGGCGAAGGAGATGGCCATCAAGACGAGCGAAGCAACAATGCTGAGCAGGCGGAGGGCGGTGAGTGTACCGACGTACGAGGACAGGGCGACAATAGCCTTGTCCAGGTCTGGCGGGCTTCGCATCAGCTCGGCTTGGTCGTGAGGGTCAATGCCGGACATTTCCACCACCAACAGGCCGAGCAGGTGGGTAGAATGGACGGGCCGCATGAAGCTGAATGCCACCACGGACTCGATGAATCCTGCCCGCCAAACAAACCGCATCAGCAGTGCATGGAAGATCGACACCCAGCAGTTGCGCACAATGGTGTTGGGGTTGAATGAGCCAGGTGTTTGGTGGTAGAAGAGCACTTGATCCATTGTTGCCGATCAAACCCAAATTCTCGGAACGGCCGAATCGGCTTCTAATAGGGGGGTGAGCGGTCGCGAACGGCGATGGAGGGTGGGGTTGGGTTCCTCGCGAGGCGTGTAGAGCCGTAGCAAGGAGAGCCCTTTTGAAAGGAACCGAATCCCCGATGGGGCATCAGACCCCTTTTCCAGGTTGGCGCCGCCGGGGGAGGGAAAGATTGATTCAGCCGCTCAGCCTGGCCCGAACGCCTCGAAATCTCTTTCGGGGCATCACCGACGGGGAATCCCGTGGAGCCTCGTCTCTGGTGCCGAGGAAGATTCTTCGGAAACAGGGTCGTCGACCCAAACCCTTCGAATCTAGGACTCTACGACCCACGCACCCAGCCCTGTTCTTTTGTCCCACGATCTTGGGTTCACCACCTATGTAAGTTGCAAACCACCTCAAACTGCCAAGATGGCTGGGGATCAGATGGAAAATGCTTCCTACCAGCTGCTTGTTGGCGGCCTTCGGCTCCTCGCGTGGTGCTTGGGGTTACTGCTGCCTGTGCTGGACGGAGTTTTCACCGCCGTGCTAGTCCTGTACAGAGCCACCTACAACATTGCCTATCAGCTCTCGTTCCGCTGGAACCGCGACTCGGCCGCTGGCGAACCCATGGATGACTACCTCCCACGCGCCAAAGGGGATCTTCCGCAAGAGGCCTACACATATGTCTCGCTCCCTAGTGAGCGGCACATTCGGATCCTGCAGCTCAAGCAGCCAAGCGTCTCAGGCTTGCGAAGCAGCGTCATCGAATGCGATCTGCTCCTTGTTCCCCTAAACAAGCCAAGTCTCATCTCCTCGTACCGGGCGATTTCTTACAGCTGGGACGGCCAGAGCTTCGACCGCTACATCCTGTGCGGCGGCAAGAAGCTGGCAATCACGAAAAACTGCGAGGATATACTACGCCACATGTTGAGGCATGCCCGACTATTTATTTGGATCGACGCCATTTGTATCAACCAGGGGTCCCCCGAGGAGAAAGCCATCCAGGTTCCTCTGATGACGGAGATTTACGGGCGCGCATACCTGGTGAACGTCTGGCTCGGCCTCCCCACCGAGGGAACCGGGCTCGTCTTCAGCTACGTGTGGCTGTTTTGGTGCTGCTCGTGCTTCCCCGAACCAGCAAAGACTTGGTTGACAAGACGCCTTCATGGCATCATCGCAGGTGAGCATCCCGACTTGTGCTCGGAGCCGTAGTACGGGGAAACAAGCTAACAATATATAAGCCCGAGGCCACACACCCTACTTCCTCGACATGTTGCACCGCAGCTGGTGGCGACGTGTCTGGACCATCCAGGAGTCCGTCCTCGCCCCCGACTCATCGTGGTCCTCCATGTGCCCGCTACTCGTCAACTGCGGTAGGTTCGAGATGCCGATGGACTGCCTGGCCATCGCCCTCCTCGACTTCTCCTCCTCGCACAAGCTCTACCAGGAGGATACGTACATCTACAACTATACGACCTGGGCGTATCTGGTGACGTGCCATCTCGACCGCAGGGCGTTCTCCCGTTCTGAACCCTCACTCGATCTGCTCCTGTTTCGCTGCCGTGCCTGCCACGTCACCGAACCAAAGGACCGGATTTACGGGCTATACGGCGTCCTGGAGCGACTCGGCATCAGGTTATCCGAGGTCGACTATAACAAGACCAAGGAACAGGTCTACTTGGAATTTACCAGGGAAGCCTGCCAAGCAACAAACTCGCTGAGCCTTCTAAATCTCGTCGCGGGAAGCAACAACACCGCGACATCGGCAACGATCCCGAGACAGCCAAGTTGGGTTCCCGACTATGGTGGCCCTTATCGGATGGGAGACAACTGGGCCTCGAGCGGCCTGAGAGCTTCGTCCGGCTTGGTGCCAGATTTCCACTTCAGCATCGACGGCCGTGTGCTGCGGACGGTCGGCGTCCTCGTCGACACGATCAAGGAGAAAACCACGACCACCATCTGGCAGCCCTCGGGAGATCCAGCCCTCGTCGAGGACGGCGACTTGGTCAGTCTCGAGTGGGGGTTTCTCCAAACCGTCCGGGCCTATCGGGAATGGAATGAACTCTTTGAAAAGCACATTGACACCCTGTGGGTGACGTACGGCTCCTCGTGCGAAGGCGTGGTGCGCGCACTGAAAAAGGTCCTCACCCTCCGCCAGCAAGCGTGCTATCCGCCCGCCGCCATGTATGCGTGGATGCACCTGATAGACAAGAGGCAGGACAGGTCCGGCGCCTTTATGGAAGCAAACTGGAGGCTCGAACGTCGGAAGGATTTCAAAGAGCATCGGCTCCGCTCTTGGTTCCGCTTCATGATGACGAGCGGCCAGGACGAGGAGGAGTGGCAGACGCTATGTGCGCTAAAGATGTGCCCCAAAGCGTCGGATTTGAATCATGCCATATGGATGCACAATGCCGACCGGCAGCTCTTTGTCACCAAGCGCGGATTCTTGGGCTCCGCAAACATGTCAATACGGGAGGGAGACGCCATCTTCGTACTCAGCGGCGTCGACCGACCAATGATCCTGAGACCGCAAGGGACGGATCCAAACTTGTGGACCATCCTGGGCCCGGCCTATATTGATGGCATGATGGAGGGACAGCTTTGGGATCCCGGAAATCTTCAGCTTGTATCGATTATTTAGTTTTCTTCTTGCCCCGTAGTATTCCACCCGAGGAGAGAGACAGAGAGACAGAGGGAGGAGAATACTTAACAGCCTAGCCGCGATCTACCAGCCCCTGCCTCCTAGGGGGGCATATGACGTGTTAGCGCTACCTAAGCTATATACACCAGGTCATAGTGCTGCTATTCGGCGGCTAACAAATACAACCCGAAGGCACGCGGAGCTCGGGCCGCATTCCGGCGCCCCTTGTTGGTGAGCAGGCAATCGGCAGTAGGAGGGCGTAAACAACGCCCGGGCATTGTACTGTGTAAGCGCTGCGGGTGGTAGTAGTGCGGTCGGTCGGCAAAGTGCCGGGGAGAATTGTGAGGCCGGGCGGGAGGGATCTTGAGACCCGCCCTGTGCCCGGCTGGCGAAAGTAAAGTTCAGGGGCTGGAGGGCCTAGGTACCTAGGTACCTATGCACCTCGCTACCTACCCCTACATGAAGGAACCACAACGACATCAGTGTCCATGGTGGTCCACATGCGCCCGAGACCGAGATCGAGGTTGCGCCTGCCGAGCGCGCCCGCCGCCGCCGCAAGCGTATACCACCACAATCGAGGTCCCGTGCCATCTCGCGTCTACGAGACGGGGGCAGGCCTGTACGGCTGGTGCGGGCGACTTGCGGGCGTGGTGCAAGGCAGCAGGGCGGCCGGGGTGGCCGTGGGCGAGGGGTCCCCCGGAAACCTGTGCATGTTCTTTTGCTTGGTACCTCTGGTGTGCATTTAATTTTGTCCACCAGTTTGGCTCACGGGTACTATCCCCTACCTATGTACTGCAATCAAAAGCGACGGGAATCTGAATGTTCTCCGTAGAGTATGGAGCGGGGCATGGAGCGGGCGCAAGACAGTGCCCAAATTCGTTCCTGCGTGTCAGAGCAAACCATGCGAGACCAGCCGGCAGGGAATGCCCTGTGCTGTTGGGCCTTTGTTATTTCACACCACATTGATGTCAGGAACGCACGGGTGCTCGGTGGTGCTTCACTGACGCTCAAGTTATTAAATAATATGTTGCCGTCATTTCTGTCTGTTCGCCGTCTCAGCCACGGACCTTTTTTCAGGATTTCGGCCTACGTTGTCCTCGTTTCTGTCCTCTAGTGTCCGAACTTGCTCGCCGGAAGCCCTCCGATATTTTAACTGAAGGCATCCAGAAAGGTACTCAGACATGAGGTCACAAAACGATGGCGGTGGGTCGTGGCACGTCCTGTGGCTCCGCCACTGGTCCGTGCGGTTGTATTTGTGGGGCGGTCATCTTTTTTGAATCGGGAAAAGTAGAGGGAGGGCTATGATTGGTTGGATTAATGCTGACCTATGTGGGCTCGCGATGGCGCGGTGCTGGCAGCCGCCCTTCAATGGACGTCAATGTCGGAGGGACTTCGGGGCAAGGCTACGACGGTGGAACCCTAAATGGCGGAAACGCAGAAGTTGCGCGGCTTTTGGCTCGTGTGGGTCGATTGATTTCCAACTCGAGCTATGTTGTTGCTGCGGTTATTGCGCCAATACCAACATCACACTCCATCCTACGACCGGTGTTTCTGTTTCGCAATTGCACAGAATTCCCGCCACCAGATTCTACCGCGCCACCCGCGTATTCGACAGCGCCGTTCGTTAGGCGGCCACGTAGTCCGCCTCCTCTGTACATTATTTTTGCGCTCTCATTTCCGTTCATCCTTTTTAGAAGTGCGCTTGTGCAACCGTACCAAAGTGTGCTAGGGTTCTTTTTCCGGAGCACCTGCCTCTTTCACTTGCTCAAGGATTGCTTCCCTGTGGCAGGTCTATTGGCTGCGGGGTATCCTACAACCCTGCAAATCGCACGCGGGGAAGTTCTCCTCCGAGCTGACCACCACCCCAGTTCTTCTTTGACATTGGCGGCTAAAGGTTGGCCGACACCACCCCGGATCAAACGCGCGCCCATGCCGCGCTCCTACACAATCGCTCCTACCCAATCGTTCCTACGCAGTCAGGCTGTTCTCGAAGGCCTTCCCAGACCTAAATACCCCCCTCAAATGTCCCTTTCTCTTAATCCTCAGTCTGCGCTGATGGCCAGTCATGGCGACACCGCAGAACGGAAAAAGACGACGCGCCGACGAGCCCTCACGAGACCCGCCACCGAAGAAAAGACGACAGGACGACAGAGATCCCGACAATTATCTTGTCACTTGGCGACATCCGCCCGAATTCTGGGACCGACTCTCCAAGATTCCACTGATCGTCGACGCTTTAGACGAGCTCGAAAGGCGGAACACGCGACTCTCCTTTCCACCTCCAACGTACCGTGTGCTGCGGCGCTTCGGAGCGCCAGACCTCGTGCCAATCACACGAGCGCTTGCTCGATTTGCAAGTAACGGCGGCCCAGATTTGTGCGACCTTCGAGGGTACCCCGAACCGATCGGCCACCGACCAGCCTGCGACATGAGCTCCCCACGAGGAAGGGCGACTGCGTCCACCAATCCAACAACTTTTACGTCGGCATCGGGAACGAACAAATCCAAAAAATCCATCACAGTCTATCACCCTGCGTTCGACCAGCATTTGACCGACCATTCCATTCACCCACTGCGCAAATCGCGAAAGCCAAGGGAGGACGACCGAAGGGATATAACGGAGGCACTGACAGTCCCAAGGCCCTCGCTATCGCCGTCAAAATTCTCTGATAGCGCATTTGAGGAATTCGAAAACGCTACCCTCGAAGCCAAGGACGAGGAGGCTGTCAAAGCTAATGTGATCCCCACCATCGCCGGCGTTCGGCGCGCCGACCACCCATGCGCCAGAGATACGGTGTTTGGAAATCTCGACCCACTTACGGACGGCTGTATAGCGCGGGCCAAGCCAGACCTCTACTACGGCGCACATCCCGAAGACCTCAATCCATGCATCCGCGGCGAGCTCAGCCACCACATCGTCCCGTCGACCACGGAGGACAAGCCCCTTGTTCCGAACTTCTTCACAGAAATCAAGGGACCGGATGGGTCTGCAGCCGTGATGCAGAGACAAGCACGCTACGACGGGGCGATTGGAGCACGCGGCATACACAGCCTGCAGAACTACGGCAATGACGAGCCTGTCTACGATGGGAGACCCTACACATTCAGCTCGACCTACCACGGCGGGACCGGGACTCTTCAGCTATACACGCACCACATGACCGAGCCGACCACTCCCGGAGGACGCCCGGAGTACCACATGGCTCAAGCAGGGTCTTATGCGATAACGCACAGTCGTGAGACCTTCGTCCAAGGCGCCACCGCGTTCAGGAACGCCCGCGACGTGGCGAAGCAGTACCGGGACAGCTTTATCCGAGCAGCAAACGAAAGAGCACGGCAACCTGGTGAGAGAGACTCAGCAGCAGCAGGCACAACGGTGATACAGCAGGATGAAGGCTCGAGTCCTGATACATTCGTGGACTGTGACGAGTTCCCTTCAACACTCGACGTCCATGAGGAAGCGTCTGGTCCGCATCCGCAACAGAGCTTTGTTGGTGTTGACGACCACACTCCGCGCCAAGCCATTCACAAAGAACCGCGTTTTCCCCAATATCTTGTCGATGATGACGGCGATCAGCAAGACGACAGCCAGTCACCCGTGCCGTTTGACACTCTCCAAGACCTGGAGGCAAGCGTCGAGACGAGCTTCACGTCAAGTTTTGCCTCGAGCTTCCCGTCATCGAGCCACCCCCCCGCCCGTGGTCACGGATCCCATTCTAAGCGCCCTAGGAATTCACGAAGTCCACCATCAGAACCCCACATTGCAGAAGATCACCATAAGGCTGGACCTGCACGCCCCAGCAAAAAGAAAACCAAAAACAAGGCACCTAGCTCAGGAGGAGCAGAAGGGAACGATGCTGGTTGTGAATGGAATGCGGGCATGGCGAGGTGGGAGTATTGGGACGAAACGCAACAAGCCATGCTGTATTGGAATGGCAAGAAATGGTATCGGGTTAATTAGAGGAAATTTAGCTCGAGATATCCTGGTGTTTCTTTTATTGATGGCATGTTTATAATAGTTTTCCGAGACGTATGTAAGTAAATAGAGCAGATTGAGAGGCAGAGACTACCGACGAGGTTTGCCGCAAGCTCGACACATGGCTTCAAGCTTCCATTCGTGCTGCAAAAAGAACCGGGCAGACCAGGATACGCTGTTTACGTGGATCGAGTACCTTCGCTACGAGTAGTACTGGCCTGCGTAGACGGTGCCGAGAACTTGCCTTTAATTTCTCTTTGCGTCGCTTCCTCCATCCTGCTTAGCCCCGCAATGCCCTCTTCGTTCCAGTATCACGTCCCCGGTTACATGGCGCCAGGTCCCAGTAGGGCCAACGACTCCGGCACAGACAGGGCAGCCCGCCACGTCTCAGCCGTCGCGACGTAGCCGAGCGGGCGCATCTCCCAGACCGTGTGCAGTCACTAGACGAAAGGGCGGCGGCGTAGCCGAGCAAGTCCCACTTGAAGATGAGGAACGTCACGTTGAAGGGCGCTGAGCCCCTCGTTCCAGGCCGCGCCGACCGGTTCCTGGGCCAGGAAAGGTCGAGGAACGCCCCGGCGGGGAATACGGGCGTGGACGGGAAGCGCTCGACATCACGCCCTCTGTATGCCCGGGAAGCATGACGGCAGCATAGCCTAAAGAAAAAAGACGTATCAGCGACCTCCCCCAACGGATGTGAACTATCGCGAAACTCACCCGTTTTTTATGGCCGGGCACAAGGCGACGTATTTGTAAAACCCGCGACCAGGCAGACCGTCCCTGCGAGATGAAGCCCTGTTGGAAGACGCGGCACTCGTGGTTGACGACACTGAGGTAGGCCACGGTCGTCACCGCCGCGAGAGATTATTACCTTGATTCTTTTGGCGCCGGCGATGGGGGCCGCTTTTAGGCGGCCGTCTGGGCCCGAGTGCGAGCCATGGCGATAAGAACGGAGGGGACTCGAGTGTCCTGAGCGCTGCGATTGCGGCCTTGGCCTCGGGCGAGCTTTCGCAGTCGAGCTCGTCGATAATTATAAGCCAGATTTTTCCCGGGAGGTTTTTCCAGGGCGGCGTTGTCGTGGACGCGGCGCTTTCGCCGGGCGTCATCTTGCGGGCGCCGCGACCGACGGCGGCAGAAAGGAGCACGGTCGTCGGCACGATCCGGAAAATGCTGGATCGCAAAAGGGTGTAATACCGTAAAAGCCGTAAGAAGGACAAGCACAAACGCGGCTGGGCGAAGGATAGGTGGCGGCGGAGAAGATAGCGGTCATCGGCGACCAGCAAGGTGCGGTCGTACTGTGTCAGGGTCTGCTCGAGCAGGTTCTTGCTGTGCTCATCAACATACTTTTGGTAGTAGGCAACGATCGATTTGGCGATGGCTTGGCGGACGGCGTAAACTGCGCGTAGGAAGAGTAATCAAGTTAGAAACTTGGGTCCCGCGTTTTCCTGTTTGCCTGAATCATCTCCTTAGACGGTGCAGTTTCCGTACCTTGCGAGGTGTGACCACCACCGGTGACGCGGACGCGGATATCAACGTCCGAGACCTGGTCCAGGCCAATAACCTGGAAAGGCTCGTAGACCTAGAGGCAGGGCAGCGGGCCACAGGTTAGCAAAAGTATCCGCCTTCCATGTCCTTCCGCCGCCCACCGAGCGCGTCGGTCCTCTTTCCCTCGTCTAACAGACAGCGGTCCCTTCCCCGGTGGATGTCTGTGCCTCGGTGATTTCCAAGCTCATCGCCGACCAACCAACCACCGACTTCCTTCTTTTCCTTTGCCCTCGCACAGACATCCACCGTTTGATTTGATTTTGCGGGAGGTTCGCGATGGAGGGGTTCGGTGCTCGCTTCGAGGCCGACGAGGGACAAAAAGAAAGACATGGCGCGCTCGGGAGACTCCCCCCGCCTCCGAGCCTGAAAAATCAAGTTCGGTGCATCAGGACATCGAAATGCCCGACTGGGAAACATCAAAGTCCGCCGATACCCAGCCTGACGACCTTGCGCCATATCGGCTGCAAATGTGCAGAGTAGACATCACCCTCAGCCTATCAACGGCGACTTAGACCCTGATAACATCAAAGAGGTACATAAGGGATTGCTGGTTGATTCTCCAATATACCTAGTGTGTGGTACCTAGGGAGGCTTTGCGCGTCGACTTGCCCGGTCTTGCAAGCGCCTTTTGTTGCCAGGGCTGCTGCTCTAACCTGATTGTGGCATAGCGCTTAAGCGGTACCTGAAGGCAAAAACACCAACGCGACGATCCGCGGACGCGAGGAGTCCGCAGCTTGCGTCTCCGCCTGTTGCCCTCTTCTGGTTGAAACGGCAACTTACTACGGTGCGACAAATCAGAGGCCGTGGTGTGCGTGCATACATGGGAGATAGTGCACACGTTCATTGCGAGCGCTTCAATCAAACGGTAGGGACGATAAACACAGTTTTAATGTAAATACACTGTGCCAGAGACCAAGAAGTGTGTTAGCTTGGTCGTGCGACATCATGGGAGCTACTTTTGAATGAATCGCTGGTAGCACTTCCACCCTCCCCGTCCTCATCCAAGGTTAACTGTCTGCCACGTGACACGAATGACCTTGGCCAGGGCGCTGGCATACCCAGCTTGTCGAAAACGGTGTGTACAGTAGACCGTGCGAGATAGAGCCCCCAACCGGCCAACACGCGCATTTCTGGGCCCGCTGCCCCGCGCGTCGCGGCACTCAAATTATCAACATCGCGCATTGTGGCCAAATTGCTCCTTGTGAGCGTGGGCGCCGCCGCTCGCACTGCCTATTCCCGGCACCGTGCTTCACGACGGGGCACGTATGGTTCGGTAGCCCACGTTTTCGTCACTTCCTTGCGTATTGTTAAGTCGTGCGTTTGCTAATCTGTACTTGTGCACTGCATAAATTTACATTACCCACTCGAACCCCTGCTACGACGACGACTTCGACAACGACGAGTCCGGTACGTTCGGCAAACACAACGAGTGGCCCAAGATCATACCGGAAGGCAATGAGTACGTTTCCTGTTTGTCAGGCGCCGCCCTCCGCGCGACCACCAACCGCAAACAGGTGGCCGAAAGCCTCGTCGAGTCCGTTGTTGTCCTTGGGTGGATGCACAGCCACAGGAGCGCCCGAAGATCGGCTGGGTTTCTGACGATATCTCAAACCGCCGCGACCGCGCCGGGCGCGACTCATCGACCTGCATAATATTTTCTGTGTTCATTTACATAAGACACCAGGCGTCGCCGGCGAGCAGCCCCGGAGGAGGGTGGCTTGTACGGGCCGGCACGGAACTCTGGCTCATGCTTCCCGCCGAAGACGGAGGCTGCAGCAAAAGGGTCGAAGAGCGTCGCCTCCGGAAGCCGCCTTCGTTTCGGCCCCATCTCTCCTGTACCTCTACAGTCGCAAGTCACGGTCACGATGTGGCACTGCGCGGCGGCAAACAACGCTCCACGGCAATGCCAAGGTAGACTACAGGCCGGTCAGCGTCCTCTCGTTGGCAATAGCCCGGTGGCGGCTGCGACTCGACTCTACCTTTAACCGGTACTCGTTTTGACCCAGTGCGGAAATTTTGAAGTTGTGGATATTTCAACGACGCCAACCGTCCGATCAACAAAGCCATTCCAAACGCATTCCTCAAGGCGGGATTCTAAACTTCGGGTTTCCCGCTGTGGCCTTCCTCTTCCGCAACCTGCCCGCCGTGGCCCTCCTCTTCCACAACCTGCCCGCCGTGGCCTTCCTCAGATCTATCGTCTTTGTTGGTGATATATCCCACTCTGATAGATCCAACCACCCTGAACCACCATCCTTCGTTCCACTCGATGATGACCATAGAGTTGGCATAAGCACTCCCCACCATGCCTACATATTCGTCGTTCTTCCTTTCGTAAACCTTGATTGCTCCTTTGTTTTCGGGAACGTCGACGACGAGCGCTATGGTTGCTTGTGGAGGGAAGTGTTCTTTTTGCGTGGGTAGTTCTACCCACGTAATTTTGCCATACTATGGATGTTAGCTAGCGGCTTCGCGCTGAAGGGTTGTAGGCGCATTTATACCTTGTCGGACCGTTTCAGCAGTTTCTCGTCCGATTGTCTTGCGACCTTTTTCTTTTCCAGGGCAGCTACAACGGCGGCCGGTCGCGACGTGTTTTGCAACTCGCTCTCCATGCTCTCGGACGTAGTCGATGGCTGTGCTTGCCGTTCTCGGACGGCGCCTTACCCCCCGTTCCTGGGGCCTCTTGCTCTTTGTTTTCGATAACCCACTGCGAAGCGTTGCGATACCCGAGCTCAGCCAAAGTGTTCTGGGGGAGAGTATGGTCGACCGACACTGGAATGATGGAGACTTGTTGCTCGGCGCCTTCGACGTCCGATTCGGGACGTCCATCCGCCAGGGAGATGGCGGCAATCTCGGCGGGTCCGATGTGATTGCCACAGCGGAATACAAAGTGTAAGGGTGGCAGTTCACTCCGCGAGGAGGAAAAAATGGCCGGTTTTTGGTGGGGTAGGAGCTTCGTGGGATGCGGGACGGCGGCGCTGCGAGCGTGAGGGCCGGTTACCACTGGAAAGAAACCCACGTTCAAATGCCCGGGTGCCTACTAAAGGCACATGTGCAGTCAGCGAGTCTGTGTTCGCTCGATGTTTCGCCTCGCGGACAAACAGACGGCGGAAAACCGAAGTCATCACGCGGGCAGTTTCGCTGCCTGAAAATTCGACACTACGGCACTGCGGGGCTCGCAGGCGGGCATTCCACCAGAAATATGTTGGGCGTGAGCAGTCCGAGACCTTGTATGCGCTTATGCGATCCTGTCACGTGTCGAAATTGCATAACTAAGGCTAATCCTGCCGTTCAAAAATGCGACACAGCCTGGACCGGCAACACCCAACGTCACGCAGCCGACTCAAAAAAAAAACTGCTATGGCAACTATAGCACCCTACTAAAGGACGCGTCGTATTGAGTAGCCCCCGCGAGAGTGGTTAAGCAGGCGTTCGAGGCGGATGAAGCGGACGAGGGCGAACAGGGCGATGGAGCGCAATGCGCGCTTCCATAACCAGGCTCGGGGATCCTATACCGGGCGACGGGGGCATTGCGAGCGCGTACTCGTGCCTCGACAGCCTGCTATTTGTCCCCGCGCTGCACTACCAGCAGGCCGCCGACGAGCTCGCCAGCAGCCCGCATCGCGGGTTGATACTTAAAGGCAGCATCCGGATGCTGGACCAAATCGCAGCAGATTGCGAAACGGACGTACAGATCGCTAGTCGGAAAATTTACGCGCACACGGAGGCGCTTTAGCAGCAGGAGTGGAGCAGGCAGGCGACCCGCCCCGAACCGGCTACTAGACAGTGGAGGCGGGGTGTCGCTCCTCGGTACGCGCCGGAAAAGGTGGGAAGATGGAGACAAACGGCTCGGCCTGAAAGGAGCCAGGATTCTAATGTTTTGAGTGAAACACGGCACACAACGCTTCTTCCTTTCAGTACTTCAACCACTCCTATTGACCCTTTCTCTCACTTCCTGCTCGGATTGGACGAGTCGCCTTATATCCTTGACGGATTTCCTCCCCGCGTCCCGCTTGTAACCCGCAAGCGATGCCGGTCAATTATGGGGAAGCGATACATACGAGATGTGCTTCTGGCGCTGCCTGACAAAATGGTTTGTGAGTTCCTGAGACACAGGAACAATTGCGAAGGAATTGACATGGTCCGAGAAGGTATCGATGAAGTATGGCTGTCCCACACAGGCACTGCCCAAAATTTGTCTGACGTCATCCCAAGTAAGCGCATAAGCGTCGCCGGCAAACTGAGACACCGCTTCCATTTCCCGATGTTCGCCTGGCAGCGACGGGCTTTTTCCCCCGGCTGGACAAGGAGACGCCGCGCGTTCTTCGCCGGTTGGGGAAGGAAAATCTGTCCGTAACCGTCAACGCAAGTGGTACAGTGCCGATTGGCCAGATGCAACTCACATTTTTTCGAGAACTCATCGGCGATACCTTTGAGACTGTCTTGAGGAATTTCTTGCCAGCGGATGTTTAGCTCGTGTGGCAGATCGACGCGACGTTTGTCCCCCATGGAAGCCACGGCGGAAACACCAAGGCCAACGGCGCAAAGAACCACGCCCTCCAATCCGAGAAGATGTTGAACCCTTTGAAGGAACTCGACATAGATTAATTTGTTCGCCCTTCCTCTGGCGTCGGTGGGAGGCATGCCGGCGGCCAAGAGCTCGAAAGCACCGCGGACACGATCGCTCTCCGCCGGCTTGAGTCCCATGCGGTTTTTCATCACGACCGAGACCTCGACAAGTTTGTCCACCATGTCGCTGATCGAGGCCTTTTGCTTTTGCGGCATTGTTGGTCGTTTGGGCCGGGTGAATGCTGAGGAGGCGTTGCTACTAAGTCGAGGTGCAATGGAGAACGGGAAGAAAGTGAATTGAACTTGTTTACACGAAAACAGGGGAAACTGAGCTAAAGTTTTTGAAATGGGTCGAAAGTGGCCGGAAATGGTCGAGAGCGGTCGGAAATAGTCAAGAATGGTCGCAACCAGCCGACGCCACGGAAACGCCAAGACCCGAGCCCCACTCCTGTCCCACACCACTCCGACGGGCAGCTTTCCTGCTTGCCACGCCTGCCAATTATCACAGCCTGCGGCAGAGACCCATGCAAACAGCAACCTCAACAAGGCCGCCAACGAGGCCTCGCCGGCGTACAAGCAGACAGCCGACCCCCACGAAATATCTTTTGAGCAACTGCCTGCCTGCCTGCCTTTGACGCGCAGCTGAGCCAGGGTTAGATGGTACCCCGACTACTTGTTGGCGTTAGGACGAGCAAACAGGAGGAGCCTTCGTGTAAAAAGAGTCTTGTTCGCCTCGGCTGAAAATGTATAAATGGCCTAGCTAGTTCTACATCGGTGTTGAGGAATAAGAGAGACATGTCTACTCACCTCCACTGGCTGTTATCCAAGCTGGCAGCCTTGAGCCCTTTGTATCATCTGCATATATGGCGACTCGCAATAACATGACGGGTGGGTTGGGATCTGGTTCCGTTCCTCCGCCCCCTCCGCCTCCTCCTCCGCCCCCTCCGCCGCCTCCGCCGCCTCCGCCGCCTCCTTCTCCCCTACCTGCCCCTAGCAACGACACCGATCTCAGCTTTATGCAGGCCCCGGACAATGCTGAAGTAAAAGATATGGGCTTTCAAAATGGGGTCAAAAAATAAAGGTATGATACAGGCCTTCCCAGTTTTAAAGCGCTTGCTTACAAGAAAGTGAAGTACGAATCACGCGCTCCCATTTTACAGCAGGCGGAATTTTGGGAAGACGAAGTTATAGTTTATCACTTTCTGGGTGGCATACTATAAAGAATATTTATAATTACAGGAAGTAAAAGGGCGATCGTTCTGTTTAGAACACGCCTTTTACCTTTGAACACCAGCAACCAGTGATTTTGTGAATGACGTCATATTTTGGAATGGGCCAACCTGTTTGATCAAACCTGATAAGGTGGCGCCCAGCGGGGCGGGGAGGGTGGAACCACGTGCGCGCCGTCGTTATCGGGCCCGGTGCCCCGCTCGTCGTCCGACTTCAGCCAGCTGCCCGATCCCGACTCCGACAATGGCCAAGTTCAGCAGGCCCGATCAAAGCTCCGTTTGGTCTCCTACTTCTCTGACTAAGACCATATTGTTTTTCAGTTTGTCATGGATCCCCATTTCGAAGTTGCGCATTTGCCGGACATGCGGGAAAGTGCTAGTCGAGTCCGCTTTTTCGCCGGGGACATGACACCGGTGGAAGGCAGGGGAGGCCTCTGGCGGTTGCCGAAGTCGCATCGAACGCTACTGCAATCAGTGAAGGATCTTATCTTGTTGTACAACAGGAACTATGTAAGTCGACAGGTATACCCGGCTGCCAACCGTGCCTAACGAAGTGTCAAGTATGGTACCATTGTTATTGAACAAGCCAAAGCCAGAGGGCTGGGCGTTTCCTTCGATTACGGCCTGGAATGCCTTTGGGTTGAAAACGCCCTGATAACGGGCGAGAATCAGATGGCGGTGATCATTGTGCTTCCGAAGCCACTGGAAGCCCAGGCTAATGCGGCATCGCAAAAGACTGGGGTGCCACGAGGAATGGAAGCTTTGATTGACGACTGTGCGACGCCAAAAGAGCCACAAAGGTCCGGTGCCAACGCTCATAACACTACTAACATGGGCCAGCAATTACTGACCAGCCAAACCTCAACAACAGCCAAACCGAGGAACTTAATGGGAACCAGATCGAAGGAGCAATCACTATCGAAAACTTGCGAAAAAACCCCACCATTCTTCTCAGCAAGCCGAAAATGAGCACCGGCTCCAAAGCCCTCACGCCCGGACGCGAATTTCAGCCTATAACTTTACAGGCTGGTGATATCCTCCAGCTCTATGAAAACGACGGCATCCACGTGACAAATGGGGGAATTGCCGCAGTGGCGCTTCGGTACAAAACAGAAAAGACTACATGATCAATAGGGCCGATGGGGAACAGAACTTTCTTGATGAGAAAGGCCGAAATTCATTCCCAATTCTTCGACAGACGGAGATCCCATAAAGCCGAAGCCCAAATCCCATTCGTAGATTGGTCCGGTTGGACTGGTCTGGCTACCCGATTTAATGTTAGCAGGTAGCTGCGGAAATTCCTGGTCATCGCGCAGGGGGAAAGGGTTACGTGCACCAAAAGAGGCAGCCGTGATTGGATTAATTGGTTGTTGAGCAGCTTGGGAGGCGGTGCCGTCTCCCATAATAAGCACTGGATTCTGTAGGTTTTCGGAGGAAAGGCCAGATAACTGCGCGGTCGAAGGGGGACCATTCCACTGCTCGGTGGTTCGAGGGCGGTCTGGTGTTCCCGTGTCCAAAATGCGGGACGAAGTCCATGATAATATGACTGGGCCATGGGGGGGTACGAGGGCGGAGGCCGGTGGTTCGGGTGGCCGACTTGTCCGTGTTTGACAAGGATTCGGAAGCGTTGTCAAGGTAGCCGTGAGCCTGTTCGGGGATGAAGTTGCCGATTCAGTCCGGGACTGATTTTGAGAGTTGGGCTCGACATCGGTAGAAGAATGATGGGGCACCAACTGAACCGTGAGGTTGCTCAGAGGTGACGCCGTATCCGACGGCAGGGCGTGCCCTTTCTGGGCATTGTTGCATGGATCTGTAGGCGCGTCGACGATGAGGATGGCAGGTGGAGGTGCTTGAAAGTCGAGCTCTGGCGGACCAGCAAGATTTGTCGCTGCTGTAATTCTTCTCCTTTTAATCCGGTGTGGCTCTGCGTCCGCCGGATTCGATTTACTCGCGCGGCGGTAGTCTATTCTGTCAGTGGGTTCTGATGGCCGCAGCGCCTGCTGGGCGTTCCCGCTCCCGCTCCCTGGACTGAACCAAAGCCAACTGACCGTCAACGAATGCAGCGTAGGCTCGGCTTTGAAGTTCGAGTTCGAGGCCAACAACGAGCTCGTAAATGTCTCGGGTAGAGAAGATACGTTTATTCAACCTTTCCCCGATGTATGGGCCGGCCGTAACGAGATTGTCGATCATCTTTCCGCCACAATCTTTCAGATCTTTAATCTTGAGAGTCAGACCAAGAGCGATGAGGTCTCTACAACCGAGTTTTTTCAAGCTGTTTTGTTTTGCTTCAGCAATTGTGTCAGGAGGCTGGTGAAAGACGAAGCGCACTATTTTCTCCAGGTTATTTAGGTCAGCCTTTTTAATATGAATGCCCTCGTCGGGTAATGCCTGATGGTGAACTATTCTGCGGGCTTTCAGAGCCCCTTCCAGCCGGGAGAGAAAGGAATGGACCTCCTCAGTGGAAGGCTCCTGCAGGGTCCATATCGCTGTAAGGATCTGGGCAAAGAGCTGTTCCATGGCATTGGTGAATGCAGAACAGAAATCAGGAGATCGAGGTGGGGTAACTTGAAAAACCAGAATTTCAGTAGTGGGTGGCCTCGGAAAAACAGAAATCGGAAGGTCGAAGGTAGGCAGCCTCAGAAAAATAGAAATCAGGAGGTTGAGGTAGGCAGCCTTAGAAACAAAGAAATCAGAAGTTCTGTAGTGGGCGGCCTCAAATAAATAAAAATCGGGAGGTCGGGGTGGGGAAGCTCGGAAGACGAGGCGTTTGAACCAAGCCTGCAGATCCACACTGTGTAAGCGGCACCCAAACGTTACGGTTTATACATTGCTGCATGCCGCCCGCGGCTGGATATCCATAGGTACAACCGAGCATAATGACGCCCGCCGACCAGATGTCCGCCGACACCCGGTAGCCCTGCTTCAAACGTGCGTTATGGTGACCGTTGAGCATTTCTGGGGCCGCAAAAAGTTTTGTTCCGCAGAACGTTTGAGTGGGTCGTCGCGCGTGGCTTGCTTGGACTATGGGGCGTAGGCACTGCCCTGGAATGGAACGTCGGCGAATCTTGGGAAGACATCGATGAAGCGCAGGGCTAGATAGGCGTATTATGCATGGGGGTGGCGGCAGCCTGCAGAAAAACGGATCTACAGACACGAAACAAGGAGGTGCCGTCCGTGGTCCATCGTTTGCACCGTTCTATCGTGGCATCTGGAGACAATGGCTAGGGCACTGAGCTAGCGTACCTCCAGCGGTCGGACATACGCACGTGATTTCACCTAGAGTAGCAGCGACACAGACGATGATGTACGATTCGAGCAGCTAGCCCTGGATGATGTTGACGGGCCATCCGCCAATCAGCGGATAGAACTTCCGCGATGAAAAGGGAGGATTGCGCAGTGCCCTCCACCCAACCCTCAGCCCTCAGTTTCGGCGGCTCCCAGCGGATCTCATTCGACAAACGATGCATCTTCCTCTCGGTCGCTCACCGCAGGGGTGATCATACAGACTGACGGCGGGGCACACCTTAGCTCTGCAGACCCCCTGGATTGCCGGCCGGTGGGTTTCCAAAACAACGACTGGCCGGTGCATAGAACGAACAGGGCGGGGAAGAAAGCATCTCGCACAGATCGCTTCGCCTGCCGACCTTCGTCCTCCTCTCCCGCGTCGTCCCCGTCTGGCTTCGCTCTGTTGTGCGCGGCCAACTTCTCGCATCCTTGCTTTCTCAGGTTCTGAGCATTGCCCCTCGGACGCCACAAATCCTGGTCATTTTTTAAGTATCACGGACTGACCGTGTGGGGCGGCCCGAGGGGCTGCAGGCGGAACGCGGGGCGCGACGCCAGCCAATCATTAGGAACAAGGGTTGTGGCCAACCAGGAACGGATCATCAAGGCTTGGCATCGATCCAGGGACGGATCGGTGGGTTCTCTTTGAGATCCACGAGGGTCAGTTGGATCGATGGCAGATTGAAGGAATCATTCGAGCGATCGTCGCTCTGATAACAGTCATCCCCCTCCTGCTCACGTGCTCGACCAAGGGAAGATCGGGCTCCGGTCCCCGCAGTTCCTTCTTGGCCTGGAGGGTACTGATCTCTGAGCGTTAGCCGCCGGCGCTTCACACCGTCGGTCGAGCCCAACACGATGAGTTCAAAATGCCCCCAAATAAAACGGCTGCTAGCTGTGTCTTGGTTTTGTCCACCGCACCCTAGGGCCTTAACGACCGCACGGATAGTACAAATTTTATCCATCAGGTCCAGACCAAGCTGTGTTCGCTCAGCTAACACCTTCTCGACCCATTTCATCATTCTCTCCATTGCTGCCGCGGCATCCGGGCTCGTTTGAGAGGCAACTGCCCAGATCTGCCAGTCCGTGCTTTATCCGGTATGTGTAGCCAGCGGCGCAGGTACAACATCAGTACGCAAAACACGGCGGCCAGTGAGCCTTTGGCCCGCCGTAACCAGTGTGTGTGTATGTGTGTGTGCATGCAACATAAATACCGGCTCGCCCTCGTGGCAACGCCCAGTAAATTGTTATGCGCGCCCTGAGGTCTCATTCGCGGCGCCATAGTTCCGTCAGGCATTCATGGTAAGGCGAAAGCGGGGTCGTAAGCAGCAGTCATCACGCAATAGGGTTGACCACCTCGCTCGACTGTGTTCTGTAAGGTCGCGGCGCGATGTTCCATGAACAAATCAGCAAGTGCCAGCCAGGGCCAGGGTCAGGGCCGGGTGACACGCCAGCCAGTCATTCCAGGGCAGGGGTGTTAGTGACACCAGAGACACCAGGCAGACACCCAGCAAACCCATGTTGCATGCTGGTGAACCCAAGTGTTGGCTCCTGTTTAGGGATTAGGGCGGCAGTCTGCGAGACTCGACACTCGACACTCGTCTCCTCCCAGCCATACTTTGTTGCTTACCCTCATCACACTTTCATTCCTCCTTCTCATCAAAATGGACCACCATCACGACAGGAATCACGAAAACAACCATGGCTACGACGACGATGTCGTAGCGTATATCTACCCGGCCGTGGGTACCCGGGGTTATCTCGAGGCGGCGCGCAGCATCGACGAGAGTGCAGCGAGCCCGCTGTACCTGGGTCCAAGACGCCGTCGTCATCGGGTTGTCGAGACGTCGCAATCGGGACCTGCGGACATCTTCGCCAGACATGAGCGAGAGCGGACGGTGGAAGAGGATGACGACGAGGGGCAATTGCACGGCGACCTGGACTACGAGGCCTGTATACGAGTGACCTTCGACAGCACCCCCAAGACCCGCTATGGCCTGAGGGTTGGTCGGGACAGCGACGCCGAGTTCCGTGTTCTCGATCTCCCAGGCGTCAGCGCCTACCACTTCGCCCTCAACTTCGATGCCAACTATCGCCTTATCGTCCGAGACCTGGGGTCCAAGTATGGCACCAGCGTTATTTATGACGACATGGAACGGGGCCGGTGGCGTAGCTTTGACTGGATCGTGGGCGGGAGCGACTTTCTACAGAAAGTAAACACCATCGTCGTCAAGGTGACTAAATTCCTACAGTTCCGGCTCGCCATACCTCGACACGACGTCGACTCCAAATCCTACCGGGACAGAGTGGAAAGATTTCGCGCGGGTGTGACGGATGCCGAGCAGGTCCTCGATCTTGGCCGTCTCGGTCCCTTAAGCCGGGTTAATACCGCAGCCCCGTCGGGCGCGCGAACGCCGACCTCGGGCCCCAGCAGGCATGTGACGGTACACAAGAAACTCGGCACGGGTGGCTTTGGGGTAGTCTACCACGTCTGGAACGTCAGTACCAGCGAGGAGTATGCGCTCAAGGAGCCGAGGAAAGGCTCAGGCAATGATGCTCAGTGGAAGAGGGAGATTGTCATCATGAAAAGAATCAGCCACGTCAGTGCCCCATCTATCTCTATCACCCTGCGGCGAATCACTGACCTCTCGTTCACAGAAGCATATCGTCTCGTTGATAAACTCGTGTCTGCCGCCGTCGCCGTGGCTTCACCTCGAATACATGCCTGAGGGCTCTATCAGCGACCACCTTCATGCCGGCAAATCCTTTGACGAGCGTGAATGCAAGCAGATCCTTGCGCAGTCGTCGGACGCCCTAGCCTACCTACACTCGCAAGACCCCCAGATCGTGCACAGAGACGTCAAGCCCGGAAACATCCTGATCCTGCGCCGCCGTCCAGACGATCTCTTCATCAAGTTCGCAGACTTTGGCATCTCGCGCGAGGGAGACACCCTCAAAACCTTTATCGGCACGTACGCCTACCTGGCTCCCGAGGTTTACGAGGGAAAAAGCATCACGCGGCACCGGCGGCCCACTTATACGGCCCTTGTGGATGTTTGGTCGCTGGGTGTTGTTCTCGCCAGGCTCCTGTGCGGACTTCCCAAACAGGAGGAAATAGACAACACGGGAGTGGAATGGTGCGAAAGCATCCGCGAAAGGGTGGAGCGGGCCCTCCGGCAGGGTCACCGCCAAGGCCAACGACAGGATTTGTTGTCGTTCGTTCTGGAATCGATGCTCTGCCTCGACCCAAACGACCGAAAGACGGCGGCAAAGTGCCACAAGGAGGCCCTCAAACTCCTGTTCGACAGCAACAGCGTTTCTGAAAGCGATAACGACCGAGGAGAAGCGGACGGCCACCACCAGCACCAGCAGTCGGACACCAAAGCGTCTACAATCCTCGCTGGGAAGGCGGATGGGAGCTTATCGTCGCTTAGCAGATACATTAACCACACGGACGAACTGCTGGGACGGCGACGGGACCGCTCCTGCAGGGCCCCGTCTCCCGAGACGGTGGTCCCGCTCCATGCAGTGCAGCTGCTGGAAAAGCTCCGCAATCCTCAGGACAGCCTCTTTTACAAATCCAGCTTCGGAAGGGCCTCGGACTCGGATTCTGGCTCGGACTGCAGCACCAGCGCGCCTGCGACCGTTATAATAGCTCGGGACACCGTCGTTGAGCCGCAGACCCAGGAGCAGGAGGACATGCCGTCGAATGCCCTAATCCGGGAGGCGCTTGTCAATTTCCTCAACAACGGGACTAGTGCGACGCTTTCGGTCAAGAGATCCAGGCCCGCCAGCAGGTAAGTGTCATGTCCACCACCCATCCTTCATCTCTGGACATCGAAGCTAATGCAGTGTCATTTTTCATAGGAGCCCTGGTTCTAAAAGCCCTCGGGTATTGTCGGCTGGGGGAGCAGACGGCGGTGTAGGAGATGGTCTGAGCGCGAGGACGGCGAAGAGGAATAGGACTGTGCGGGGGGCGGGATTGGATGGGCTGACCAAATCGGTGGTTATATAAATAAATGCATGGAATGGAACAGATGTGGTGGTACAGAAAGCAGGGTTTAATGTTGTTAATTTATGATTTAGATATGGTAGAAATTTGATGCTATGTGGCCGTGTTGATGGATACCTAGTGACTTCCCAGTACGTGCAGTACCTGAGGTTATGGGGCTGTGAGGCTGGGGAACTTGCGGAGGTACCCGCCTACCACACCCCTGTAAGTCATCGCAATGCCGGGGTGGCTTGGGTGGGCTGTTCAGGCTTCCGTGCATTAATTGTTCTGTATTCCATACTCAAAACCCACCCGTCTCCCACCAACTGCACCACCTCAAGTCCTCAACGACCTCAATTGTCGCCCACACTCCAACGCGACACCACACTCAACATTCGTACCACGCATATCGGAATAAGGAAGCCATGGCGACCCAGCTCTTCGGTGGTCAGGTTCTCTCTCTCAGCACGGATGAGCATCTTAGCGACAACACCCAAAACGGCTCTCCTCAAATCCAAAACCTCACGGGCGGGGATAACGTGTCCGAGACCAAGAGGGGTCTTCTTGCCCAACATCTGCTGTGAGTTTCCTTTTGGATCGCCCATTTGCAAATTGCCCGTGCCACAATAAAATAATCTAACAGTTGAAACCTGCTGCCTAGCCAAGCACCGTCGATTGACGCAACCGCCCTTACCGCGCTGCTGGATCGAATCCCATCCGAATCAGACCATCGTCCGGTGCAGAGCTATTACCCGAGCCCCTCCCGCTCGTCGACCGTCGAACTTCCCGAGGACGAAGAGCACGAGTACGAGATCAAATGCTACCAGGCGCTTTTTAACGACAACTGCCAGCCGCTGTTCCACGTCGATCTCCTCCCACATATCGAAGCGAATCCGGACGCGCACGCCCACCTGCTGCGGCCATGGACCACACAACAACACCCAGCGGATGCGAAGGGGAAGTGGCAGGCCCTTTCCAGACAATGGAACCGATGGAAGGAGTTCCGCGCGTGGCAGCTGCGCGGAAGGCATAGGAGGCCTGGGTTTGGGGAATATCTCGACGTATACAGGCGCGACTACTTTATGAGCGGGGGAACCTCTAGACGCGCGGCAGAGCTGGGGTTCGAGCAGACTGCGCGCCTGCGCTGGGAACGCGATTACGGCGACTACGGCGAGGACGAGGAAGATGTCGAGGGGCACGCCGAGGTCGTGAGGAAACTGCTTCCCCAAGGGTTCGTTATCCGGCGGCCTCTGAGGTTGTTGCCGGACCCCAAGACGCAGGACCTGTGGATTACGTATGTCGAGTATCTCGCCTTCGAAGCGGAGTGCCTCTACCTGCTTGCCGGGGACGCGCGGAGACTGGAGAAAAGGGCGAAGGGGAAATACGAGGTGGCTAAAGCCAAGGTCGACCAGCAGCAGTGCAGGGTTGATTGGGTGCTGTCTGAGATTGAGAAGATCAAGGAAGAGCAGAAGGCTGCGGCAGGCGAGGGCAGTAGCGGCAAGACTGGTAGCAGCAAGAAAAGGAGGCCTGCAGACGACACTGACGGACTGCAGGACGTCGTGGAGCCACGGTTGGGGAAGCGCAGGCGGATGGGGAAGACGGACGAGGACACGACAGACAAGGACAAGACAGACGAGACGGAGGTGCTAGCTAGCAGGAGCAACTACCTATCGCAGAAAAGACGAAGCAAGAGACGCAAGCCCTCGACAGACGAGCAGGAGGAGAAAGATGTCCCAGAACCAAGGTCGAAGAGAAGGGAGGTGGCCAGCATGAGCGACGGCCCAGGCAGCGTCCTGCAAGCTTCCGGGGCGCCGGCGGTCCCGGCTGTCACCACCATCCATACCTCGTCCTCGCCCCGTCGTCGGCAGCCCAAGCGCATGACAACACCGTCCAGAGTGACAGCAGCAGCAGCACCGGAACCGCGTGGAGAGCGGATAAAAACACTGCGGCCGCGGGTCAATGGGAAGGCGGCGACCATTTCAACTTTAACAGATTCAAGACGACACGGGGCGGCCAGACGGCCCAGAGGTGGGCTACGCGTGGCTGCAGGGAGCATGTCCTAGTTAGGGAATTGAATTGGTGGAATAACAGGTTGACAGGACAGAGGGGAGGAGGGGGCCGCCAATGGTGATGGCGAGGCGGTTGAAGTGGGAGACAACTCGTTAGGCACGGCTCCATGTAAGGTATGTACCGGGTACATGTACGAGGACCAGCCAACCACTTCCACGCAACCCCCAAGCCGCGGTGGCGCCACCCCAAGCGCCTTTGGATGTACTGTACCCTTTGCCCTCGCTGCGATATCGCAACGACTGCGTAACCCCGACAGTGTTCGGCAATCCGCACACGATCGAAGGATTAATATTAGGCCGGAGGATAGACCTATTGGTTGAGGTAGAACTGCCTGGAAGGCCGTGAAGGATGACGGCGTCAAGCTGTTCGCTCCAAAGTACGGTGGTAGCTACAGTGTTTTCGCAAAGCGCCCGCTCTGCGATGCCATCAAGCTGTACCTGCGCCCAGGACGTCCAGATCCTGCCTCGGCTGTGGTCTCACTACAGCAGCCGAATGTCACCTACCTGGACTATGAAATCGCACCGGGCTTCGAAGGAGAGGGTGGCCCTATCGCAGACGGCGAACTTCAATGGTAAGGGACAGCACATGGTTCTGGCTCCACCTGGCTGGTACTAGCGCCATGCACCCTTAGCTCACTCGAGCCGAGGGCCATTTCGCCTTTATCCTCGCGTGTCCATGCGAAGGTGGCGAGGGGCTCAGCGGGGGGTGGTCGAAAAACAAGCAAAAAATCTGAATGCTTTTCCCTATTCCCAGGTTGACCTCGTGTCCCTATGCATTTAATACACGTGCCTAACGGGTGGCGGAGGTTTAGCCAGGCCGCCAAAGCTGGCAGAGTACTGCTTCTCTGCCAAAGCGGCGCAGCGGCGTAGCTCGTCTATATAAAGGGGTCCCTCCCCCTTTTCGACTTTTCCCCTTCCTTTACTCGTTTACCGACCTGCTAACGCAGCCCCAGCACAACCACAGCCATGGACCTTGCCTCGCCGCCAGCCGGGGCCCCCGAAAAGCCCTGCGATCCCTTCTGCGTCGACCCTGCGTAGCTAATGCTCCTCCTTCTAACCCCGCGCCGAGCGGCGACCCTAGCTGTGGGGGCGGCTCGCTTAACGATATCTTTCTTTTGGACTCCGAGCAGACTCCCGCCTTACTTAATGATATTAACGTTGAAAGCGTCGTGGGCCCCAGGGGATCTCCCGACTCCATACCCACTAACTCCATGTAGCCTGACACCACCGACACTTTTTTATGGACGGATGGGACATTACCGGAGCTAGACTACTATGCCTAGCTCGGATCTTCGAGTTTACTGTTATGCGACTTAGCTGATGAAGTCTAATTCTCTATCTCGTTCGAGCACGAGTCTGATAAGGCCGCTCGCGGCGATTTCCACCTCGACGACTTTCTTTTGTCGCCCCTGCCCGACTTTAACGAAATAGAAGACGCTTCCGGCGATAGCAGCATCCTTGACGAGTTTATCAACCTTAACCAGAGCGGAGCTGCGACGCCCCAAGAGCCCGCTCCACCTATCCCGCGAAAAAATGTTCAAAGCCCGAGCTGGTCTCCCAAGACTCCCGGAGCCTCGCCCTGGACGAGCATGGACGCCGAGCTACTAAAAGTTAGGAGCCATGAAGGGAATAACAGTTGCTTAGTTGAGGAGATGATTAACAAGGTTTTTGGAAGGGGGCGCGAAGATCTGGATGACGATGGAGCTGCGACGCCCTTAGAGTCCGCTCCGCCTACCCCTCGACAGGATTCCCGAAGCCCGAGCCGGTCCCCCCCGCTTTTCGAAGCCATTCTGGCTTGCACGAGCCCGGACGTCGAGTTTCTGGCAGTTAGCCATTACGGTAAGGCAAGCCCTGGGAGGAATCGAGTTCCGTCGAGAACGTTTGACTGTCGAGGTGCTCGCACCGCTTCCAACGTAGTAAAAGTAAACAGTCGCCGGGCTCGGACGGTGATTAAAAACGGAAGGACTAAATAAGGGTTGGGGAGGAATGAGGGTTTACAAATTGCCTCCCAGGCAGCGAGCGCAAAAGAAAGAAGCTGCGGGGTTTAGAAGGAAATCGACGAGGTTTTTAGGAGGAGGGCTCCGGGTCCGGGTTGCCATCGCCGGTTACAGGCCTCAGGCAGTTGATACCATCTTGTTGACGTTGACGCGCTTTGAAGGTTCAGCCAAGTATCGGGAGACAGGTAGTTGTATTCAGATTCGGTCAAAGATCAAGTACCTCTTTCGCCATAAATCACCCAACGAAGCCTAGCTCGCCCGGGGTCTTCCTGTGCCTGTTTTGCAGGCGGTTGCGTATGTTCTTTTTATCAATACGGCTCGCAGCCAACCCTGTACGTGTCCGCGAAACACGGCCATCGTTGGCAATTACCATGGCACATTCAATTGCGCGCATAGGGTGATGGCCTGCCAAAGCCTCCATGTTGCCTAATTTCGTATGAAATTTTGGAGGAGTTAGGGTGGATTTGGCAGATGGTGATTGGATTATGGGTTTGACCTTTGATAGGAAAGAAAACGGGAGAAAAGTTTCGGGGAAAGCATCATCCCCTTCCTAAATAACCAAGGCGACAGCGAAACTCCTATCACATAAAAGAAGCCCACTGCTCGTTTTCTGCCCGTCCATGCAGCCGTCAGGCCAGCAGAGGCGGTACGAATAGCAGGACTCGTGAAGCGACCTCCAATGGCGAAAATGTAAACAGACATGTCTTGGGTACCCAAGGAGCGAGGAGGGCCAGCCTTACCGCGGTATTCAGAATTACCATCGCCTTTCTCCACCAGGCAGCAAAGTGCAGATTCCTAAATGACTCATAGCGTCATAAGTGTATGTGCTGGTCTGGACGACCACAGCCCCTTAAAATCTAAACTCATTGGCAGGGCGAGGTTTCCTTAGTCCCCATGTCCGAACGAGCATGCTCCACCCCTGATTGGAAGAAACGCAAGAGACGAGACCAAGATTAGCCCAGACGCAGGGTGTCAGGTTGCATCGCTGCTGCCTGGACTTGTTGGGCGCCTCACACCCCCTGCCCCTCACAGCCTCCTCCCTATAATGCGAGGTGTGCAAAACGCATCAAGATGCATCCACGGCTGGCGGCATCCGATAGCAATGACGAGGATGCGCGACCTGCTTCCACTTCTCCAGCGTGCCCGCCAGGACCGGAGCGGATGCCAGTCAGCTCCCGGTCCCGCCGGTGGTAAGAAGCAACGCGAAGGATGGCTTCGTCCTGGTGATAACCACTATCCTGTTCACCATCTCGCCCTCGGGGAGTGGCTCTTGGTCTTGGGTCTGTCTCGATAGCTGCTGTGAGTGCGGGCGCGGTGGGAGGACCAGAGATGCTCGACGACGCTACGAACGCGTTTTCGGATGTAGGCATCAAGAGTGGCCAGCCGCCACAGGCTAGCAAAACCCCACCTAAGATTCTTGATATGTGCATGGCGCCTGGTGGCTTCCTAGAGGTTAGTAGGTACTTAGGTACCTGGCGGGACAAATGATTGCTAGTGCCTCTCGCCCCGGGGGGTTGGCTTAACAGCAGACCTGCCGGATATATCGTCGAGAGCAAATCATCGCCCCCGGACGTACCTTCTCCCACGCACAACGCAAACAAAGGACGCAGTAGTACCAAAGCCATATTCGCACATTACAAATATCGAACACTTCCAAAATGCCTGGCCAAACCGTCGCCTGCAACAAAGGTCGAAGCGGATATAATTAAAGGCTTGCCAAGATCGGGTTTGAACGGTGGAATACAATAAGTACGGTCATCTTCGAATCTGGGTAAATACAAACTAACAGGTTTTGTAGGCGGCGAATCAGGAGGTTAATCTGTTTTATGAAATAGCGACGGTGCTAAGGCTAGGGTAGAGAAAGGCTCGGTTTACTACCCCGACAATAACGTACAAAAAGTGCCTGCAGCGGTAGCGAATACAACATACGTACTGAAGAACCAACCGAGAGTTTTTATTTCCCAGGGTTCAGAAGAACCTCCGTACAATTCGTGTCGAACCGGAGGTTCCAGAGGCGGACCGAGGCCATGAACTTCTCGGTCGCAGGGAGCTCGCGCTTCCGACCAAAGAGGGTTAGGACGAACTCGACGCCGGCGTTGCTGCCGAGCTCGGAGCCCCTGCGCTGAGAAGATTGGAGCATGGGGGCCTCGCAGCGCTTGAGCAGCTTGCGGAGCTTGTCGGTTAGGCGGTCGCCCGAATCGATGAAGTCCTCAACCATTTTACGGACCTCCTTTTGGCGGATGGACGGGATGATCTCGTCGGCGCCCTTAATTTTACCTGAAAACTCGATGAGGAGAAGCCAAAGTTCGCCGGCCATCTGCGAAATGGGGCGACCCCTTCCGTGCCTGTAAACGGTCCAGTCATAAATCCACTTGCCCAGGGAGTTGGCGTCGAAAACGCTCCCGAGCAGCAGGATGGGCTGCTCCGTGGGGTCCCAGTGGGTCAACGAATATCCGTCGGGAATCCAGTGCTTCCTGGCGTCCTCTTCGGTCACAGCCCGGTGTTCGGGCTGCTTGGGCTCGGGCGGCCTCGTTTCCGACGTTGAGTCCCGGCGGGGACTCTTTTGGGGCTTTGACGAGTCCCGGTGGTGTTGGCTCCTTCGAGGCCTTGACGTCGAGTGCCGGCGTCTCGCTTGCGGTGCGGGCTTTTTGCGCGACGACGTCGAGTCCCGGCGTCTCACCTGCCGTGCAGGCTCTTTGGGCAGATGTTCATACACACTCCATTTTCCACAAAACTAGCCGTAACAATAACAAATTAGCATGCTACTAATTTACTATAGCGAATTTGCGAAACTCACATCGCAAGGTGGAGTGTAGACTATTGTACTGTATAAGCCCCCTCCAGTGCAGCGTGGCGACGGTAGAAATTCGCCCATCGTAGCCGCTGTTAACATGGAAAGGCCGCACGGAGCAGAAGGTGTTTATCAGCGGAGTGCTCTCGTTAATTGCACCTTTGAAGGGAGCAGTAACGGAAAAACGAGATGGCCTGAAAAGAGGCTGCCTATCGCACACACCTTATCGGTTTCTGGCGAGTCCACCGACACCCAGCCCCCGGCGCGTCAATACGCGACGCGATTACTAGGGCGGGATTTAAAAAAGCATGTACCCTTGGCAATCGCTGTCATAAGCGCGACAACAGGAACGACTGGCGATGGAAAGTCGAAGCGGAAGCTAGCTAACGGAAGCAGGCAAGGGGTACAGTGCAAAGTTTCAGGGGCTACTTCCCTACATACACTGTGGTTAAACGTGAAAGGGGGCAGCCAATACATTATCCAACTTTTCCGACGGGGTTAGCTGTTAATCGGCTCCCCCACCCTTTTCACATAGGTACTTCTGGATGTGCTTGCCGAGTTCTGGGCGTGAATCACTGATTTCCAATCAGAACTGGCCACTGCCATACGCGTATAAGTGGCCCACCTTTGTTGGCAACCTGCTAAAGCTGCGCGGCCGTAGGTAAGCCCAGCCATCTTCCCTAGGGGGGGTGGGCCGCAGACTCGTCAATGTGAGATGCGAAGTAGGCGGAGGCACATGTCGTTCCGTCCCACTCCAACGACGCGCATTCAGGTCGACGACATGTACCTCCAGCGACGATGGCTCATCCAGTGTTGCATGGGGCGGGCGGATGCTATGCTTTAACTGTTATAGGCTCACGCCACGTATCGAGTGGTATTTTTTTGCACCCCTGTTGGCTTGCTACCCAGCCACCCAATATTATCCGCAGGAACGGCAACTGGAGCAGATCGAAGAGGGTGTCGACCTGGAAACGAAGGGCAGGGCAGGCAGCGGGATAGTGAAGTGCTGGCTGACGGGTTATCCCCGCCGCCGGGGGCTGCGGGAGATATGCAAGACACGGAGTTTTATCCATGGCTCGATACGATCTGCCTTGCGGCTTCCCCTTGCTATTTCTCGAAATCGAACCCTTTTTAAATTTTTGCGTATAGGGATATCCATTGCACTGCTGCCAGCCGCTGTCCCCCCTAATGCCTGGCGGGTTGAGAATGCTGTAAAGTTCCTGGCGGCCTGCAGCGCCATGCTTTTGTTCCTAGTCCCCTGGCGGCCAGAGCGTGATGTCGGATGTGCTTTGCTCAAGTCGGACACCATGTTGCTCCAGTGGAAGCAGAGGTACCCGATCCATGTTCAGCGCTTACAGTAAAGGATGTCACATAGTTTGCGTGGATGAGGCGCGCGCCGCGGTGGCCACATAGCCATAAATTGGCATACTTTACATCGTAAATCTCTCCTTTTATTTTACAACATGCCCTTGGCGCCTTTCTCCCCCTTCTGCCCTAGAGTTCCGATTCGTACGGTTGCGTCAAGCCTAAATAAGTAAACCGAAGTCGTATTTGCACGAGCCTGGAAAGAGGTTTGGGGAATGGGCTCGCCCCTCTTATCAGCGCTGCTCATCCGGCGCTGCGGACCCGGGGGCGCCTCTTTGTGCCGTTTTTTCACTTCCAGTAGCAGCCAGGTTGGAAGTTAGGAGCTCGAACGGAAACAAACGTCCCCACAAGCCAGCACGCCGGTTTTGTCCCGTCGTCGACGATGAGAGGAAACGAGTTTTGAGGAGGCGGAGGGGGCTAAGGAGCTGTTATCTGCGCAGGCGGGTGCTCAAGCCGCCGACAGACATGCTGCCGCGGTTCGTTTTCCAGATGACATCGGTTTTCAATCTGAGAGGCCTGGCGACTCTGTGCGGGGCAGCAGCAGGCGGGTGGTCCCCGATGCGGTTCTCGAATTCTTTTTGAGGTTCCGCTTCCTGATACTATCGGATCTCATTTAAGGAAGCCTGGCCTTTTTGTGGACTTTATAATACATACCACAAGCGTTGCACAGATACTGTCCTTTTGGGCCTCGGCGCCACAAAATTGTCGTTTGCGTAAAACAGTTTGTGCAGGTTGTCGGTGCCATGCTCTCCCCTTGGCTCCCCACAGACGCATTCTGGAGGTTTTCACCTTGAGATGGACCAAGGCCAAGGTTGTATGGAGTCGTGGACACGTAGCTGCCTGCTGCTCTTGTCTTGGATGTCATAGACAAGATCCTGGCCATGTCTGCTGTGGCCACCACTGCGGGCGCACCATTGTGTGCGCCGCTGGGGCTTGTTGCCGTCGGAAGCGGAGTGGGCGGTTTGGCGGCAGATAGCGAGTTGTACAAGCCCGCGGGGGAAGCGTCGTGTGGTGCTTGCAGCTTGGTGGACTGCGTGTATTCCGGCGGATGCATCGGGGTCGGGGCCGGGGCCTGAGTTCCGGGAGGAGCCGCTTGCGGATGAGGGGGCTGATACGGGGGCCGCTGTGCAGAGGACTGGCCGGTGACGGCTCCGGGGGCAGGATGCTGTACCGGCTGCCTCTGCTGCCCCTGCATGGCAGCACCGGTTTGTGGCAGGCCATAGGTGGCCGAGTATCCGGGCAAAGTTCCCTGTCCTATGTGATACCCCTGGGCGGCCGGGCATTGTGGATGGGTCATTTGTTGGTTCCATTGTATGGCAGGCGTTTCGCTATCACACAGCAATGAGGCAACGGTTATTCGCGGCAACTGTTGCTTTTGCAGATGCGAAGTCGGCGTCGTCGTCAGCGCGCCTTCTGCCTTATTCCCGTTGGATGGAGCCTTTAAATTCAACGGCCTTGGGCTCGGTGGGGGAGCCCCCAAAGGAGCCAGCTCGTCCGCCGGATTGTGAGAACGGCCCTTTTGGAGCGCGTCTTCCCGTGTCATGTTATGGTGCTAGAACATAAAAGTGAGCGATTAACAAGGTTTCCTCGCATAATACCGCTGTGCACGTAGCTCAGGCAGGCCGCGATGGTTGGCCGGAAACGATTGGAAGGGTAAAAGCTCAGCACTAACAAACTCTTTCCTGTTGCATGCGCCCATTGCTTTGATCAGCGCAGCCTTTTCTAGGTCGCCACCAGAAGTTGTGAATGCCATGTTTTTCGAATTCCTGCTACCACGGGAACTATTCGGTGGGCCGTTTTCAGGCGTCTCGAGGTCCGGTGAGGGCGGCGGCGGTATAATGTCCACCGAGCGCCGTTAGAGCAATTGTCGGAGGTAGGCCCGTGCCCAATGCACGTGCCCTACCAGGCCCATTTAGCCCTCCCGGGCCTGTGCCCTGCACAGGCTTTCAGCCTAGTGCACAACACAATCCACGTTCCAGGCAGTGTTGCCTGCATTTCACCTTCCACAGCAATGGATCAAGTGTGGACAGGTGTGGCGCGGCGGAGGTCTGTCGGGCGCCGGATTGTAGTGTGATTGTACTGTCTGGGCGCTAGTGAGGAGGGGTGCAGTAAGGAAACGGTTTGCGGGGTGGTGAATAGCCTCGGGGGGATGGCCCTGTTTTGCTATAATGAGCCCCCGGCCGGACAGGGGTGGGCAAGCGATCAGGGGGGTGGCCAGGCCACTCATCAGGTAAGGCGACGGCAACTAGGCCGAGCAGCACGCACCCCTTCCCACCCTTCCGCTGGGGGTTCACCAAACACGTTGCATAGTTGGGTGGCAGCATGTGAAGACTTCCGTCAACAGGCGGTGCAGATATAATCCGCTTCTCTAGCGAAACACGCAGCGCGGGGTCGCGTTCCTCGTTGCTTTTTACGCGTTTCCGCGCGCTCACCGCACTTTTTATTGTGCAACCACCAAAACCTACCGTCTGGCCGCTCACCGTACCGCTCGCGAAGGCGGCATGTTTCCAGCCAAAAACATGGCGTCCAATTACTTACCCATTACCCTCCCCACATGCCGCAGAGCCTTATGGAGGGGTGTAAGCCAGCCCTGGAAGCGAATGTTTGTTTGTCACTACTAACAGATTGCAGCCAGCCGCTGCACAGTACTTTTTGAATCATGCACCTTTACACCTCGGGAAATCTATGCAACCACTTCTTAGAAAGGTGAACTGAGTGAGTCATCAAGTGGCGTAAACATCGCTCCAGCCACCCAACCGCTTTTTATTGCAGCTAGAGCTCAGGGTCAGCCCGGAAACAGCCAATCGTTTTAAGCGTCTACATCTCTACCGGATAATGCATCCCACTGGAGAGCTGTATCAACCGGCAGGTCACTCCAAGCGCTGTCCTTCGCCCTGTTCTCGCCACCTCGATTACATGAAATGGAACCCCTTTTGGATCACGCTGTACCTTGGATGTTCGTGCCGGATCCACTTCGGTTCGGTTCCCGCAACAAGCGCAGCGGGCAACGCCAGCTGCCGGTCCAACGCCGGAAGCACCTCCTGGCGGCCTTCCACGGTTCCCTCCTGCTCACACCCCTCTCCAACGCCCCTGCGCCAAGGCTTGATTCCTTGCAGCCGGATCGATGGATCAAACGACACGAACACTATAGTTTGGCCAGCAGCGTAGCACACTGACCTCTCGTCCCACGTCGCCGAAACAATATCTCGTTGCCCGGGTGGGCGCGCCATGCTCTTGCTCCCAATGATCTGGTGGCCAGAACGTGATATCGAATGGAGCTTCGAGTTCTTCGATTTCCGACTCCAAACGGCGCCGCCTTGACCCGGCCCTGAGACGAAATCTCTGATTCCGATCGTGATCGGTTGGCGAGGGGTCCTTGACCAGATCCAAGAAGGTTTGACAGTTTAGGTGGTAAAATTTGAGAAGAAAGTCGTTGCTAGTAAAGGCCAAAAGGGATAAAGCGTCGTCTCCAGGTGGGACACTGTGGGGAGATCGGGTAGGTGATACGGGCCCGGCAGTGCTGTTTGCCGACGGCGCCTTCTCACCCCGGTCGGAAAACTGAAGCTCGTCCGAATAGTATGTCCGCCCCGAAATGCGTCCTCCCACCCGACCTGCTACAGTGCAGCCAGATCAGCAATCGGCCCAGGGCCAGGTGCCTCATGCACCAGACACTATCCGATGCAGCAGGGACATTCGGTTAGGTTCATACAGTCAGTCAGTGCGCATTCAGTTATCCAGTTCAAAATGACTCGTCATCCAAACGCAGCGAACCACATAGTGCACAAACCACACGTTATTTCAACATCGACAGTAACGTCTGCGGGGTGATTCCATATCCTGCCTCATCTGCCGTTGAAGTTGGCCGCTTTGCTGGACGCAATCTTGCATGAGAACAAACTCCGTTAAATAACCTTTTATCATCACTGCAGGACTGCAAGTTGAGCACCGCCGCGAGTGGAGGGCACATCGTCCGTCGAGGCCACGCCTGGGATAGGCGCCAAACGCAGGTTGTCGTTGTCATCAGCGTTTTCGCGGCTGCCCCACGTGGTCTAATGACGGGGAAAGTTAACGGTTGTTTGCTACCTCGGCACGAAGCCCCCAAACGGGCCAAAACAAAAAAATCTTACCACGTTCAAAGTGAATAGGGCGTGGAGCTTGATCAAGCCGTGGAAGTAGCCAAAGGCGATTGAGAGTGGCAGGAACACGAGGTCCTTGGGGTTGCGCTTAAAAAGGCCCATGAGCTTAACAACCTTGGTAAAGGCGAAAAAAACCAGCATGGCGCCAAACGCATAGCATCGGTTCATATTATCCCAGTCGGCCGTGCCCCACCATAGCGAGGCCAGGATCAGCGGGTCGAAAACGAAGGCCAAAGACGTAAAGGTGGCGATGTGAAGCGCGTACGTCGACCAGGGCTGTTGTCTGCCGCAAGGGAGGGATTCGTCAGAACGGGCTGCTAACAACCAAGGCCTTCTATCCAGGGATTGGACGGAGTGGGGAGGAGAGAGTGAGGAGGAGGAGCGGGCTAACTCACCTCCAAATATGGCGCTCTGTAACGAAACTAGTCCAATTGCTCCTCCAGTTGCTCCTGGCCTACCGCGAGCACTGGTATAAAAATTTGAGGCCGTATTCTAGGGTCGTTTCAATCTCGCATTCGTGCTCGTACTGGATCCATGTTTTCCACCGGTAGCTTACGAGCCAACGCGTTACAAAATTGTCGTCGTCGGCGTTGAGGATGAAGTTGCGCCACCGATCCGTTTTAAACGAATGCTGGAACTTTTCGTCCTGGAAAATGTGCGTCCGGTACGCCCCGGTGCGGCCCGATATGCACGACGTACCGCCGTCGATATTGTGTGTCGCCGAGATCTCAAAGTTGCGCCGCTCGATGTAGCACGCCCCGAGCCAGTTGCTCGCGCGCCGCAGGATCGACCCGCCCGTTTCGCGCCTGACCCTCTGGCACGTACCCACGCCCCCAATCTGTTCGTTCTCGAACGGCGCCAAAATCCAGGGCATGAGCGTTTTGGGCCACGTCACGTCGTCGTCCGCCATAATGGTGATCCGAGTCGTAATATAGGGCAACGCTTCGCAAACCTGCCGGCGCTTATTGGCCACGGGGATGCAGAAGGTGCGGATCCTGGGGTTTAGGGCCTCCGCGAGCCTCGTTAGGGCGTCGAATTTATTGGTGGTCGTAACAATGATCAGCTCATGCGGGTTTGTCGCAAGGATGCTTTTCAGCGAAGGGCGGAGCTCCTCGAAATTATGGTGAATGGTGGGTATAACAACCGTAACATCCTGTTCCGTGTACTTTGGTTTGCTAGGAATGGGATAAGATTTGTAATTCCAGTGGCTGATGCAGTGTACGATAAGCCGAACATATCTATGAAGGCTACAAGGAAGGAGTTGCTGGTCAGATTAGCTACTTCAAAGGGTGGCGCCTATGCTGGCGTTGGTGCGAACCACCCGCTTCCCAGGGGATGGGGAACTTGCAATAGCACGTAGAACAAGTACAACCAGAAGGTTGGAAACTCGGGAGCCAGGGTCTTTGCGAGGTCCTCCTAGCCAAACATGCCAAATGATGATGGAGGGTATTCGTCTTAATGCTCAGCTTAAACAAATTAGAATCTTGATTTTTGGAGTGTTTTTGTAGTATCCCTTGGCGGAAACGCTAGTCCTCGTGAAACGAGAGAAGCACCAGAGGTAGCGGATAGCAACATAAAGGCAGGATGGCGAAGACGAGGTGAGCAGGTAGCTGCTTTCCTTTCAAGTTCCGGGACTCCGAGGTACGTACTGGGTGAGAGAGGTGGAAAGAGTCCGCAGTGGAACTGTACGTGTACCGTACTGGAAGCTACCGCATACAGCGTGCTGCAGGGCTTATGCATAACAAATGAAGCAGTATTTAACAAATGGGTGGCTCATATTATATCGACCGACATATGTCCGAGTGGCTGCATATTCGCTGCAATAACGTAAGCACTGTATCGGAGGTACCAGGTGGCTGGCTTCAACATCTTAATGTCGGATTTCCCTGGACAAGCCACGTACTCCCTCCCTGCCTTGAAAAGATCCTTACCAGAGCTAGCTTATTGCAGCAGGCCAGTCACCGTGGCTACAGCCAAAGTAAGCACACACCCTTACGCCAGGTCGAAAAGCTGGAGGGGAATGGCCAACTTTTTCCAAGTAAACATGCTAAATGGGGCGTGTGGGAGATTTGATTCGTTGTCGTTGTTATAGCATACATCCCCTCCAGCCGTAGCGGTCAAACCAAGCGAAGGAAAGGTTTGAGTAGCTCATCCAGAACGTTCTGGATCCCCTGATCCCGGTTTTGGTTCCCCTCCCATAAGTCCTCCAAACCCCGCTCGGCCATCTCGTTAACCTGTTCCACCTCCTTCCGGCGTAACTCATCCTTCTTCTGTTTCTCCTCCAAAGGCTCTCCCAATAATGTCAACACCGACTAAAGACCGACCTTAGCAGACAGCTCTTCAGCGAGCCGCTTCTGCTCGTTAAGAGTAGCACATAACTCTTAATGACAAGCGCTGATCTCTGGGAAATTGGAATTTAAAAATCCCCACGCGGTCTCCTCTGCCTCTGTTTGGAACCTCCAACAAACACGATTCCAAAATGTACGATCATTTCCCGCTACAACCCACCCCTCCCCCGACACCTTACAAAGCTTTATAGCACTGTACGGCCTCACCCTCTCGGTGTCCATCTCGTTGCCCTCTCCGTTGGAGCAAATCCTGCAAGGGTTTCCCCGAAACGTGAAGTTGCGGCATCTTTGGATCGTATGTTAGCCGACTGTTCCATCAAACGGGTTAGGGCAAACTCACGTTGCAGCGCCAAACCCCAACGACCTCGTAGCTCTCGTAAATCAGGCCCGGCAGCTTTCGACTGGTGCCAGCCATGGCGAATGGTGAGCGACAATGCGTAAAAAGGTGAGCTAATGAGGGGCGACGAAGAAAGAATGTAAGACCAGAGAGCGGGAATTTTCAACCCCTTTATAGCTGAACGAATAATGGTGATAAAGCTTGTGCCCGAAATTTAAATCGGGGGTCAGGCAAAAATGACATCCCCGGTGCTTTTGCCCGAGTATGGAACGCCCGACGGCAGCGGGCTCACTCCATGGTGTAAATTGCCCGGGTTCTGTCGTCAAAATCACAAATCAGAACTTTCCGCCCTTCCCTGCTTTTGAAGCACGGGCAGGTAGCTGGGCGCATGCAAAGGCCAGGCTCAAAGCAGCTTTTATCACGGCCACGACGGCTTAGCTGTGCTGCTAGCCAACGGATTTGGAAACTGACACCTCATCCGGCAAATGTAGCCGGCAAATGGCGAAGCCTAGGTGGTAGTGGCGGAGGCCGGGTTACCGCAGGGCAGCAAACTCGAACCAGCTGGCAGCCCGTGTTCGCTCCCTGGCCAGTGAGAGGTGGCAGGCTGCAGCCCTTTTTCGCCCCGATGCATCATCCTTGTATTTCCGCTTGCACCAGAGCGTGTGCAGCTTGGAGACCAAGTACAGCCTCGCCAGTCAAAACTTGTACCCCCATGTACTGCCTGGCAAAGGACTTACCATCGAAAACCATTGTAACGTAACAAATTGGGCGTTCGCTACCGATAACGAAACGGAGGAACATTGGCCGGTGTACCTGCAACAGCACTTTGAGCGATGACAAGACGATAATGGGACGCTGCCAGCGTACCGCTCCGCGTGCCCGGCAGGCAACCATTTCAAACTGTGACCCTCCTTGCTTACTACTTGCACGGAAGCGATTCGTATCTTGCATTGGTGTTGGTCACACCCGGCGGTTCGGAGGTACTTGTGCCAACGTGTCTCTTTCTGCGTGGTAAGGACTGTTGTGGTGTGTTGACCAGCAGCGGACCGCGACCCGAGGACCGCGCAGCTGGCTGCGGCGTCTAGTTAGACTCAATCCGCCGAGCCTCATGGGGGTAGTCCTATAAATCTACACCTGGAAGCGATGTGACCATGCAGAGACAATATTGTGGACGAATTGTGAACGAGTGTTCGGCCACCCTGGCGCGTTCATGGCCTTGCTTTGCTGGCCGTTCACCGTACCGCCGATCCATGCAGCTCCTGGCCTCGCGAACCGGCATGTTTCCAGCCGAAAACCTGGCGTCCAATCACGCATTTACCTTCCCGCGTGCTGCAGACGGAAAACGAAGCAGTGATATACGCTGCTCGGGCAACCGTGATGTGATAGAGAAAAAAAATGGAAGTGCCCTAGGTTTACAAACTTGGTGGCTGGAGGTGGGAAAGGCTGTCCCAAAAGTGAGCCTTTAGGGAGGGTGTATCGGAAAGAGCTCTCTTCCCCTCTGTAAGGATCACGCAGGCTGCGCCGGCCAAGCGTCTCGCGTCTGCGCGCCCACCATGTCGTATTGTTGGCTGGCCGTCAACATCGCAACACAGCGGTGGCTGGGAGAGGGTCGACCTGCAGCACCGAACCGTCTGCAGGGGTGGGAGGCAACGTCTAGCAGCCCGTTTCGTGCTAGCGCGTTGCGCTCCCAACACACCCTTACTGGCTAGCCCCGGACGCGACTACAGCTCCTGGGAGGTTTGTACCCAGAGCCTTGCGACTAGGATTTAGGGCTGACTACGTGCACTCCACCCCTCCTCCCTGAACGAATAGCGGGAAAATTAGAAATTGAACCAAATCCGTACTTACATATCGAGCTAGTCAGACCCTTTTTTAACAAGCCACGCAAGAAACAACAACTCCGCCTCCGACCGACTTGCAGATCCACAAAAGCACAGACTATCCGTATGGGTGACCAGGGTCAAGTGTCCATGCATGGCGACCCACCTGGCAGCCTTGTGCAGGCACCACCCCACGCTAGTGTATTTCCTGTAAACGACTTTGCACGGCACAGGGAAACAAAAATGAATGATCTAAGGAACTGATCTCCGTCCTTTGGAAATTACGGAAAACAAATCCACGGCATAACATAGCTAAGATCAAACAGCCGGCGATGGCAACAAGCTTGGCAATGTCCAGCCCCATAAGGCTCAAACCTGAGTCCCCTTAATCTCCTAGCTTTCCTTCCCTGCGGTCCTGCGTGCTTGGGCATCAGAGACAGAATGGTGAGTAAGAAGAAATAAAAGTGCAGGCGGATTTACCGCGAAAGACGGGATATTACGGTGGCCCAGCCCGTTTCAATGAGCCTACAGCGCCCGGCTGCTGGGGATAAGGAGGCGGCTGGCCGTGATGCGGCTGCGGGTGTTGCAGGTGCGGCGGGCCGTGGTGGCCGTGCTGCGGCCCGTGGGACGACGGTCCGACGGGCAGGATCGGGGGCGGGCCTCGCGGGAGGAGGCCAGGCCGCGAGTGGCGAGAGTCCTGCCGAAGAGGCGGCGTAGCTCCGGCGCCCGAGGCGCCATACGGATGGCCAGGGCCGTAGGTGATGTGGTGCTGCGGCCCCTGGTGGGGGCTCTGAAACGAGGTGCCGCTGTAGGACGAGGCTGAGCCAAAGTCGGCGCCGGGCCCCTGGTCGGTCCGGCGGCGACGCACGGGCGGCAGGCTCATGCGCCCCTGGGGAGAGTCGTCGCTGTGGTAGATCGCATCGTACGAGGGCTGCGACGGGCCCCGCGAGCCGGGGTGCTGCATCTCGCCCGGGCCCGGGCCCGGCAGGGCAGAGCTGGCGTGCCTCGGCAGGGCCGACCACATGGTCGGGCTGGTCGGGGGGGCTGTCCGCTCAGCCTCGCGCAAGAGGTCCGTGTTACCGCGGACGATGCTGTGCAGCCTACTCCTTTCGTCGCGGTAAAAGTCGCGCTCGGCATGGGCCCGGTTCAGCCGCGCCTCCATGTCCTCCAGCTCCTTTTTGTAATCGCCGTTCTGCCTTTGCAGCTCCGCATTCTGCTCCTTGATGATCTGGATCTCCTGCTTTTTGCGATCGCGGAACCGACGCGACGCGTTGGCGTTGCGCTTCCTCTCGTTGTCGGCCTCCCTTGACGCCTGGAACATGTCCACGTCGACGCGGATGGCCTCGGCGCCCTCGGGTTGGATCTGAAGCGCCAGCCCCGTGCCGTCCTCGGCTCCCCCACTCGTTACAAAGTCGCGTATTAGCGTCCCTGCGTTGGGCACCGCCATCATGCCTCCTCCTCCTCCTGCCTGGCCGCCCTGCGGATACCAGCCCGCCTGATCCCGCCAACTAAGCATCCACCTCCCGGGCTTCGGCGGCCTTCCCATCTTGACGCGCTTCCTGTCCGGCCCCATGCTATCGTCGTCGTCTTCCTCTTCGTCGGGAGAGCTCGCGGGGCTGTGGTCGCTGGGGCCGTAAAGCGGTTGCGAAATCGACCTGAGTCCGGACGGCGTGTTCTCGCGGCCGGGAGGGGCGTTGGCGTATGGAATCGGAAGTGCCGGTCCGTGGGTCTGTATACTCGACAGAGGCGGGATCTGGTGGAGTGGAGAAGGCGCGTGGTGAGAAGGCGAGCCCATGCGCGAACGGGAGAAGGAGTGCCTCTGTTGCTCCATCCCTCTCACTGCGCCTGGGCCCCTTAGGCTAACGGAGCGACTGATACCCGGCAAGATCCGTCTTCCAGGAAAGCTCGGGTTGTGCTGCCCATGCTGCTGCTGCTGCTGATGCTGCTGCTGCTGCTGATGCTGCTGCTGATGCTGATGCTGATGCTGATGCTGATGCTGATGCTGCTGCTGTTGCTGCTGCTGCTCCTTAGCCCCTGTTGGCCCTGCCCTTGGTGGGGAGTGGAGCGGCGGCGAAGGCAGTTGTGTTGAGCTGGATGGGTTCAGGAGGTGCTGTATGCCGCCGCCCGGCGCTGGAAGGGCCGGCTTCGGTCCTAATGGCGCCTCCATTGCAGTAGGAGCCCACCAAATGGGAACGGGGAAGAAAGGGACAAACAAACAATTGGTAAATTCAGCCGAAAGAACAAAATGCTAGACAGAAGACTATAAGTTTCAAGGCCGCAACCCTCTCCAGGACTACACCTTGCTGAGGCCGTTTGCACACTAGAGAGCTCGGCGTAAAAATATGGGAATTTTTTTCTGGTAGGGGAATGCGGAATTAAAATCGATCATCAGCCTTCTACCGCTAAACACTTTTATTTCCGCGTAGACCCCGAGGTGGCTTTCTCACTCACCACACCACTAATATGCAACTGGCAGGTTCAGGCTGCGACTGTTCATCGTGCCGGATCACCCACCCGTCTTCCGCCGGCATCGCGATCGTTCTTCCATCCTTGATCGTGGCCCAGGCCAGCGGTGGCCAACGAGCGCTCATTTTGGGGTTGCCTGCTTTCACCCAATAGGACGAAGCTGTCTGCTCCTGGCAGGGGATGGGAACATGCGATGCTACACGCCTCCCCCATTTCCCGCCAGCCATCCCAACAGCAGGCAGCTAAAAAGGGTAAAGGGCTGGCGTTACAAATTGGGGATTGCCGCCAACGAGTCCATGGCAGATCGAATCTTGGGGAACCAGCCACCTTACGCTAACCACCCCCTTGTCGTCGGCGATACCCTCTTTGTCAACCCAAACCGCTCAGCTTCCACACCTCCAGCGGATTGCGTTCCGTATTCGGGATTCCCTTACCCCGGCTTCCGGGCCTGTCTTATAGCGTTGATGGTTACCACTAGCGGTGCCACCCACTGCCACCCCACGGAATGGGTGCCCATCCGCTCAGCCGCAGGCACGAACGGTCAATGCCCCCGTTCGCATTGTGCGAGCTGTGTTATGCCTGACGTGATGTGCTTTGGGCTTGCTCAACCCACCTATCAGATTCGGCTACAAAATGACCTCATCCGCCTCGTGGATTCGGTTCAACAAATGCAACTTAAAACGATATCGGTACCTCACCACGGACAACTGGATATGGTCTGCAGTGGCCCTTGTGCTGCTTCCTATCCACTTGCTTCTCCGCCCAACCATTTGGTATCGCACCTTCGGCAATTGCCACCCCGTGCGCGTTATTCTAAAGATCGCGGGAACCGTGTTTTTGGTGGCCGCGGTGGCCGCGGGGGTCGCTGTGATTGTGGCCTCTGTATTACCGGCGCACCCGATTCACATCCAACATCACTCCCTAATTCAAGCCATCTGCATTTACACACCGTTTTTACTTGATGTAAGTTCCTTCCAAAATGCAATTTCGAATTACTCTAACACAACCGTAGGTTTTTTCTACCGGTATTTATCATAGGGGGACGCCAGTCGAAATGAAATGGCGAATCCCACTACTTTCACTGGATGCACTTGTCTCTCTTGGTTTTTACCCCGCCTTGCTGGTCCTTCTCAACATTCGACCTGATCTTTTCGACCAAAGGACTACCGCCATCGTCACAGCCGTTATTGGCCTGATCCACGGCATCCTAGTGACATTATTAATTTGTACTGAACGACGGCGGCCTAAGATCTTAAGGGATCTGGGATGGCCGCACCGGAGCTGGCGAAGCTTCCCGTGGTTTTACTGTGGAATAATAGACATCCTGTGTCTGCTGCTGTCCTTGATTCTCGCGCTCAAGACTTTGGAATGGACAAGACTTCCAGTTCTGGTAAGCTTGGTCTTTAACATTGCGGTTTTGTGTGCTAACAAACGATTCAGTTGGCCGCTGGCATAAAAGGCCTGGTCCCTTTTGTCGACCCCACTTGCGCGTTTTGCGGTTGGCCTACTCCTAGCGACTCTGGGGGACTACGCTTGGAATCTCTCAATGCCGCAGATTCGGCTGTTGGGCCGGTAGTTTCTCCCACTCCTACAGCAAGGGATGTAGCAACACCAGTGGACGCTAATGATTGAGGCCGTCGGGGACGGCGCGTCGGTTGCCGACTGCGGATAGTGTTGGGTCCCAATCTGCACCAACCAAAGAGACAATGCTGCAGTAAGGTAGGCGTTGATATTGACTAACGTGGTTCATAAGCGAGCGACACACGTGCAAAATGCATATTAAACGCGGTTTTCGATACCCCTATTAAATCCGCCAATTTAAACCCAAATCGCACCAAAATTTAATAATTGTTATTTAACTACATAGCAAATTTAATTTAATTTTCTTTAAATTTTTTATTGGTTTTTTAGGGCTAGTTTGTAACACTGTGCAATATACCGTATACAACATGCTAAAATGTCTAACTAACCTTAAAATAATAATAATAAAAATTTAAAAAATAAATTAGATTTATTACGTAATCAAATGTATGATATTAAAATTTAATTAAGTTGGGATTTAAATTGAACAAGTTATTTAATTTAATAAAATCACGTTTAATATGCACTGTGCAAGTGTGTCGCTCGCTTGTGTGTCGCTCGCTTATGAACCACGTTATCAAGAGTTGGAGAACAAGGAAGGATATCAGTGCGTGCACCGGCCAATGTTGGAGGAGCCTGCAGCCTACATGGTCCGTGCACTTTAGGCAGAGTACATTCTAGGCAACAGCATATCTCTGTATCTATTTAGACAGACGACCGAGACGGAGGATTTGGGTTGGTCTCTTTCCTCTCTCTCTCCATAGCCATCGAACAGAGATCGTGACCAACAGCCAACGCGTGCAGAGATTTGTCCGCGCGTTGCACGGGCCATGTAGCCACGTGACGTCGTGCCCTCCTTGTCCCGCAATCTGGAGGGAGGCCTGCAAGGCCGTGCCGCTCCATGACAGCCGCCCGATTGTGAACTGACCAATTGCTTGTGGCCGGGGGTCGGATCAACAGCAGGGGCCACCTTCCCTGCCTAAACGGGCGCTCATCCTTGCGCCCGAGCTGGCCTGTGTCGTCTGTCGGATCCATAGCTGCGAAGACGGCAATGCGTACCCCTCAGAAAGCCACAGGAAAAGCCGTGCCTTTCCAAACAGGGGTAGCAGGAGCCACCTCCGCGGCAATGGCCTGCAGGGTACCTTTAGCGACGATCGATCCCCGGGTCCTGGAAACAAGAAGGCTCGCGACAAGGGTAATCCAAGGTCTTTCAGCTCCGGCTGCGCCCTGCCGCAAACCGCCGACTGGGTTCTTGGGAATACGTCCCATTTGAAGCAAGCCCCTTGCAGGACCGAGAAGTATAACAGGGGCATGCCAGTGTCAATCAAGTGGCTTCGCCACACGAGATTGTCAGTTTGGTCGCCCATTTCTACCCAACCCAATTCCGAACCGCCGATAAAATGTGCGAATGGGCCGACCGTTGTGCTCCGGCGGAAGTAGGGCCGGGGGCGAAAGTGGTGTTCTTTTTATCTTGGCCAATCACGGGTTTATCCCTTATCAAGTTCAGCTCCTGGCGGGGCCAGGACAGCGCCAGCCAAATTCAAGTCACGTGTAGATAACAGATAGCTGGGACAAGCGCAATGGATTGGAATTTGATCCTCAAGCGCCTTACCGCGCCACGCTTGGTGGCTTGGTCGCCCTCGAAAATAAACCCCTCCTCGATATCACACGTGAATGTACCCCGCAGTTCTGTGCGTCATTGGTTAAAGTGCAGGCTGTATGTAGCACTCGCGTTGATGCGGGAATTAAAAGCAGCCATTTCGGATGAACGGGATGCACAAGCTGGTCATCGGCAGCAGCCGGAAGCCATAACGCGAGTCATCGGCTGTCACATGGGAGCCGGTGTGGCATCCGGTCGCAACAAAAACGTTTGCGCACCAATGGCACGATCAGAGGAATATCGGCAAATGCGATGGGTGCTGCAAGAATGCCCGACGACAAAGTGGCTAATGTCTAGCGAGTCGGGCGGGCCATTTGGATGGCTGCCTGCGCGGGTTGGCACTTTTTAAATGGAGTCCTGCTGCCTTTTTTTTTTTCCCATGGCAGAACTAGGCTTTGGCCCACTCAATGAGTCCGCCGGTCGCACTGGAATCCTTTATCGCGGAGTGGGATCCTGTGGTAAATTTTGTTTCTAGCCCGGCCCACTGGTGGGAGGGAAAGTCGCGCTCGATCTTTTATTTAAAATACCGCATTCCCTGACCAGCGTCTTCTCGGCATCCGGGAGAAAACAGAAAAAAAAACCCACAAAAACGAATTCGATCATACACAGTTTTGCCGACCGATTGAATCCTCCTAAGGCTATCTAGCAATGGGTTTGCCTACAAAGGTGAGCGCGTCTCCATCGGGATCGCGATTTCCTTTCGAATAAACTAACAGATAAAGCCCACAAAAATCGAAAATGAAACGACTTTCGAAATAAAAGAAACAGTGACACTTCATTGGCAAGCTGGCGCGTTCGTCATAGGGATAGGTGATAACTATGTGGCCAAGGAGGAGTTAAAAAAGGGCGGCCATAAGGAAATTTGTGTTCCCACAGGGGAGGTAGTCCAGGTGTTCGTCGGTACTGCGTGGGTTTGGTTTACCTAGGACTCTTGCATATCTTCATCATGGAAGAAAAGAGCCTTGGCCACTAAATATCCTGCGCCACCAAAATGAACTCGGATAAGGATTCCGTGTGTCTCGCGGATGATTGATGCCTTCTCATTCTCAAATTGCCACCACTTTACAGCGGTCAAAAGCTTTCCCTTTAAATGCGCTTCCTGGAGGTTGAAGTCCGGCCGATCGTTCCGTAAACGGATACCCAAAGTGAGAACTCCATGCTCAAGAGTAGCATTAATTGATTGTCCTCGCCGAGGTTGGCCTACAATCCCTTGTGGAGCCAACATCTTTATGCATTCTTCAGTAAAGAACTCATCGGCGGCGGAAAGTAGATATCCTGTGAAGCGGTGAACCTTGTCGGGGTTTGGGGAGGCTGCTGACAGTATGTTTGGGTCAGCCGGTAGCACAGAAAGGCCTAATGTTGATGCCAGATTGGCCTGACCGTTTATGTCGAAACTTACAAGGGCTCGGCCCAGTTGACGAAGCTGGACTTGTGTTGTCCGGCAACTGCGGTGCCAGCTGAATGGGGCCTGGGGTTGGGTGGGGAGGCCGAGAGGGCTGATGGCAGTCACCGAGGCCTTGTGACGCGGCGCCGACGCGCACCTGTTCTGCCAATTGAAGCGTTTCGACCGCGGGAGGAGGGGCTGGCCCATAACGGGTGGTCGTGTTCCCAGGCGAAGGCGCTCCGCTGTTCCCTGCGTTTTCGCGTTCGCCTGCGGGCGGTTGGTTCGAATGGGCAAACGGTGACGAGCCTAGGGTATGGCGATATGCGACGGACGGTTAGAATGAATCTCACATAAAGGGACAGGTCTGTCGGGGGCGAGGGTGGGTTAGGGGAAAGCCAGAATGGCAGGCGAACCTTGTGATGGGGTGCTATTCAAAGTCGGGGTCCGGAGGGACGGTGGCTCAGTCCTGGCACTGGGGTGTTTGGGAGCTGCGTTGGTGTCGGGAGACGCGGCCGCGGATTGGATCGGTGGGGGAGGCGTAGGCTGCTGGTTCGCCTGGGCGCCATTGAATGATGCGGCACCGATGGAAGCGGTCGGCGGACACGTTTCGGTTTCGGCTGATGGAGCCATTCGCGACGGGGCTGAAATGGCTGCCACATCCTGCTTGCGAGGTCTGCGCCTAGGTCGTTTGGTCTGCACGGACACATTGGCTGCCTTCCGCTTTTTGGTCTGGATTGTCGCTGACGTGGTGGCGTCGTCGGGCCGGACTTGAGGCGCTGCAGTTGGGTTCGGGAGGGAGGACGAGGGAGGCAAGTCTGCGTGCCAAAGTTGCAGGTTAGACGGCACTGAATTAGCTAGTACAGGCCAAAATTACAAGCGCTGGTCATTCATACCGCGCGCGTGGGAGCGGCCCCGGTGTTGCTTGCGCCGCCCAGGCACCGATGATGGCTTCCGCTTGCGCTGCGGAGGTCCAGGGATCGTGCGGGGTTATCGAAACAAAAGGCACCAATTATCACTTACTCGAACCAGGGAATAAATGCGAACCGTCCAGCTGAATGTCGGGGGCAGACGTTGTGCCGTTTGCGGTGTCCTTGGGGCGGGCCGCGAGGGCGGGCGGGGCCACCGGCAGACTTGGGGAGTTTGGGGTATGCGGCGGATGGTCAGGGACAGGGGCGAAGGTGGTAGTCGAGGTCGGAAGGGACGGCGTCTTGGCCCCGTCGGAAAACAGGGCCGCAGATTGTGTCGGGGGGGAAGATGGACCTGACGATGGAGGCGGCTGGTCGGCTAGGAGTCCGGCCGGTTCGGTCGACGGCGGCGAGGCTGCGTGGGATAGAACCCTTTGTCGTCTGGCGGGGTTCCCCGCCTGGGGCTGTTGCCGTTTCGGCGGCGGAAGCGGGGCGGGGTCGTTCTGGGTAGAAGTTGGCGGCGGCGGATGGGTCGAGGCGTGTGCGGCGGAGGACGATTCTGTCCCAAATTCGAGGTTAGAAGGCACAGGACAAACGGAAGGGATAAGGATTGAAATTTAAAGTTAGACGGCGCGAGACATGAAAGGGGAGAGGACGTTCTTACGATCTGGCGCAAACGGGCTGGGAGGAGAGGACGGCGAGCCGGCCTCGTGGCGATTCGCCGTGTTATGGTCAAGGGATCCCGCCAAGCCCGGCACGAGTTTAACACACTTTTCGAAATATTTCGTGTACTGTGTAGCCAACTCTGTTGTACTGATTAGCAAGCTCCGGTTCGGAATCGGGACACAAAACCTACCGATCAGAAAACACGCGGCTAGCTCGGGTTCCGGTTCGACGAGGGCACTCAGGTATCGAAAGCAAGAATTGATGTCGAGACGCACGAACAGGGCATTTGCATCCGCACGGAACTTTGTGAGAACCTCTGCATCTTCCGCGTTTTCCAAGAACTTGACGGTCCCCGAAGCGGTTTGTAAGGCACAACCAACGTCGAGGCGCAACGCCTGCTTCGGACCTGTCTTGCCGTCGTACCGGACTCGCGCCCACTCAATAACAAACTTGGTATGATCACCTCGAGGGCTAAAATGGAAGCCGTTCTCTTTGACTTTCTCTTGCAATTGTCGAGCTTTTTTCGACGCCTTCGCGGATTGCTCCTGCAATCGCTGCTGTGGCGGACGGGGCATGACAAACGAAAGGCGACAGGCGAAAAATGGGAGAATGGGGCGTAAGGGAAAGAATGGGACGGAATGGGGCGTTGAGGGGAATGGGGGTAGTGAAAAGAATGGGATAAAAAAGGTTGCAGGGAAAGGAATAGGACGAAATGGGGTGTAAGGTAAAAAAAAGGGTGAGAATGGGGCGTAAGGTAAAGAATGGGGCGTAAGGGAGAGAATGGGGCGTAGGGTAAAGAATGGGAGAGAATGGGGCGTAGGGTAAAGAATGGGACAAATGGGGCGTAGGCAATCGACTGCAATTTATCACGTCCAAGCATTTATCAGCCGCTCCCCCGGGCCCGTGGAGCCCTTGGCGGCCCGCCTTTTTTAGCTAGCGTTTGCCCGGTGGCCGTGTTGTTCCCGCAAGGTTACATTGTCCTTAAATTCGATTAATCCAGCTCCGAACTCGACTAGTGCCGAGCCGCCGCTTTCCTTTTAAATCCTGTCCGCAGGACCCTATTCCTTTCGCTTGAAATGTTGAGCCTGGCAGGCAGCCCGAGAGTATGCTAAAGGAGAATCCGAAACGTTGGAAAAGAAAGGGGCGGGGAAAATGGCGGAAGCAGGGGGCACTTGGGAGTGCATCGGCTAATAGGACCGCTATTGGAGCGGGCAGGCAACTAAGAGCGACCAGAGACACACCTCCAAGGGTGCCTTACCCGGGCTGTTTGCTGTGGATCCAGGCCCACATAGCCGTTCCAACACCGTGCGGAGCCCATGATGCACGGCCGCAACTTTAATTCAACATGCGAGCCGCCAATGTCTTGTAAGTCCAGCGGCAGGCGGCCGACTGCCCGGTAACTAAAAGGGTTAGCTCCTAGTGGCGGCCTGCACATCCAAAGCGACGGCGGTTTTGTGGTCGCAACTAGGTCCCCAGCCGGCTCCAGGATTCCAGGTGCAACCGATGAACGCCAGTCCAATCGCCAGCGCGGAACAGGCTAGCAGCTTGGCAGGTTTCCCCGCCGAGTTCAGCTTCGCGGCCATTGATCATCCCTTGGCCGGTTTCCTTGTCGCCGTGAGACTCCTGCTTTCTATGGGCATACCGCTATTCGCCTGCTACCTTTCTCCCCAGGTCGCCGCGTGGAGTTTCTTCCCCCTCCCAACGCACTCGTAGCGCCCCTTGCTCCAACGGAGTGTCAAGTAAAGTACTGGTTTTCATGCAGGATGGTGGTGACAATTCTGTAAGGGGCCATTTTGAAAATTCGTTCCGCAATCCAATCTGGGGTGCTACACCGCGCTGCGTGGTGGCTGCAAGGGCTTTAATGTATATGCGGCTTTAGCTTACCGCCGTGCCAGGGGCGGGCATTCTGTTCACGCCCCCTGTGGCAACCCTTAGCGTTTGGAGTTGTAGAAGCATTGGAGCTGTGCTTCTGCAAAAGGTCCAGCGGGTTGTAGGTCGACGTCGTAGGTGATAGCTTCAGCGCATCTTGCGCGACCACCGCCACTACCACCCGCTGCAAGAATTGAGGATATATAAAACGCCCATATCCAGGTGCTATTTACTATAACAGACCCCCAAACCAACGAGCTACCTACATAAGGAGGCCGCGGAAGTATTTTAAAAACGAAACTTTAAACTTCCTTCGGGCCTTCTTCCTGGGTTTCCCTCCTCCCGCGTGGTCGGGAATTGTGACGGGTGCGCATGTCTGGCCGCCAGAGCACTCGGCCGCCGCGCATCATTTCTGTGTGGTGCAGCGGCAGCGGCACCTGCAGCAAAACCACTAGCCCTAGAATTTGCAGGGCAGGAACCATACTAAAGCTGCAGCGGCAACTGCTGCTGCCGCTGCCGCCGCCGCTGCTGCCGGTCATGCCTAAACCCATAATTATATTTCGGCTCAGGGCGTTCGGAGGGTGAGGCGCGGGACACGCAGCCCCGGAATATCCGAGGAATACAGCTAAAAGAGGAGGGAGCCTCGCTGTGAGCGGTCCAGGCCGGGCGGGGGAAGGAGAGAGGGAAGGTGGTTAAGCTCGCTATCGCCCAAGAATCTGGCGCCCTACCTCCCTACGTAAAGGCTCGCATCAGTAGCCGGGCCTGCTGAAGTGCACTGCTTAGCGGTGAAAGGCGGCGGTGTTCCGGCCGGGCGGCCTGTCCGTTCAACCGCAGCTGCTTGCTTCACAAGCATAAAACCTCATTTTTGGTGCGCTGCTTCCCAGTAGCTAGTACTTAATAAATGTGCCAAATTACTCCACCCCGAGCTCGTCGGCAACCTCCCTAAGCCGCGCCGATCATGGCGGCCGGCCAGCTGAACCAGGCCTTGGACGCACACCTGCCCGAGCGCGCGTCGACGGCCTCGGCGAAGGAGCCGTCCCACTGCATGGCGCCCACGATGCGCCGCCCCGTCCCTTTCGATCCGCGCAAACACAAGCTCCTGGAAGACCGCGGGATGGGCAGCGGGCCGCCCTCGGTCAGCTGGCCGTACGAGGCGCGGTTGACGCTCGCGCAGAGCGATAGCTCGCCATCAACCGTCCTGGCGGCGGCGGCGGCGCCCGCCGCGGCGCAGCTCGTGTTGCGACGGACGCACGTCCGGGCTGGCGTCTTGGGCGTAATTTACGATCAGTCGGCCCGCTGCTTCAGCCCGCTCCCAAAATACGAGGATGCCGACATCGACACCCGCCCACCTCCTGCCAAGCTCGCTCTAGACGACGACGAGATTCTCCCGGACGCCGACGCGACGGGGATTGCTAGCGTCGGCAATGCTCCATCCGAGTGGCAAAGCCCGGAGCCGCCCGCGATGGAAACATCGCCCACGTGCGAACCCTTTGACTCGAACGAGACCCAGTCGAAAAATAAGGGTTGGCGGGGTGGTTAACCGATCTCAGGTCTTTTTTCGTGGCTGCAGGGCTCACCTTTCGATGAACGCCTCCCAAATGATACCCTGGAAAGGGTCTTGTCTCTTCGCTGATGTAGGCTTCCTGCGTATCGTTGCACACCCCGACTGGCCGCGTCGACCCGCCGCGTCCGCCAGCGTAGTTGCCTGCCCTGGGCCGCCGCCTAGGTGGGAGCCGTCCTGCGGCAGGATTAGACGCCGGCGCAGTTGCGGCACGCCTTGAGCGTGCAGTTTCTACACTGCCAGATATATGGGTTGGGGCCATCGCTGCAAAATCTGCAATGCCACTGGAACAGGTTGGTGTCTGACTTGATCAGATCCCAAACATGATAGCACTGGTTCGCCATTTTCTTTTGTCCTTTTCCGGTGGTTTATGTCTGTAAGGACATAATGGCTGCTTTATAAATAAGGAATAGAAAATGCAAAAGGGCCTGTCAATACATGCGGCGGTTAAAGCGGGTGCGATTAATGTCGTGCGGCTGTTACTTGCGCAGGGAACAAAAAAACGAAGGAAAAAACGGAAATAAAGAAAAAAAAATACCCGGCTACCTCGTGTCCGGCCTCCGCTGGCAGACATGCCAAAAAGCACCGCGATGACGCCGTCGTTGGCGAGTGATCCTCCCCAACGAATGCGACCAGCTCCAGAATCCAAAGCCGGGGGTTGATTGGATCCATGACGAACAGTAGGCTGTAGCCATTTATTTCTAATGCATCATGCCTGTACCAACCTGGGCGCCCGCTACTGGTGGCGGGGCGGAAAGAGTTGGCAAAGGGCGATGCCAAACGGAGTCTGGAAAGCGGGCTGGATACAGGCCGCGGCAACCATCCCGGCGTTGTTGGCGGAGCTTTCGTGGCTTAGCCTTCTGCGGCCAAAGCCAGCCCCTACCCATCCAACGACAGCGCTCGAAAAGGTCAAGTGACCGATGGCCCAACACACCGATATACCTGCCCTCGCAGCGTGCTACTCGCCCAGAGAGCGGGGCGTCAGCTTAGGGCGTGCAGCTCGTTGTAATTCCGTTCCAATGGGCTTGCGTCTGTCCTGCTGTCCTCGGCGCGGCGGCCCTGAAGCAACTACAGCCTCACCCCCACCTAGGTCCGCCGCTTGGCCCATGTTGCCCGCCAGTCCAGCTGCGTCTCGAGGTCGGAAGCACAAGGCAGGTGTATTTTGGTATAAACTGACACCAAGGCTTTTGTGTTAAGGACATCAAGCTCCTTCTAAACAATAGGAGCCCCTTGCTATAAGGCACACATCCAGACAGATTCTCATTATTCTCAGCTGCTGCAACCGCCAATAAAACATACCACGCCAGCGCCTCGCCAACACGGACTCCACCCTTCATAATGCCGGAAAGATGGGAGGTTCTGTTTTCTTTGTTTATCATTGCAGCTTTCCTCGTCGGCCATAATTACGACACCTCCGGCCCGGACTGCGGCCCCCATGAGCGTTCATGGCGCGCCGTCGTGGCACGGAAGCTCGATGCGGACAAGGCCAAGATACCACGGGAGTGGCGTCTGGAGAAGGCTGTGGTAGACCGGGCCAGGTCTCAACGGAAGATCGCCGGCGAGTTCATAAAGACGCTGCTAGACGCGGAGACATTCCAAATCACCGCCATGGACGCCACGACCCTAGTCGAAAAAATGGGCGACGGAGCTCTAACTGCAGTCCAAATGGTAACGGCATTCTGCAAGCGCGCAGGGATTGCACATCAACTTGTAAAACAGACCGGCTAGCTCCTGAGAGTGTTTCGGGAACGCTTATGCGGTACTAACTCGAGCCTGCTGCATTCGCTAGAGCAATTTGCTTCTCGAGATTGGTTTTGACCTCGCCATTGAGCGGGCGGAGGAGCTGGACAAGCATTTCAAAAAGCATAGGAGACTTGTCGGGCCCCTCCACGGCGTCCCAATAACGCTAAAGGACCAGTTCCACATCAAGGGCCTCGAAACGTCTGCCGCGTACGTCGGCTGGATCGGCACGTTCGAGGGCAAAAAGGGGACAGGCAAGGAGAAGCACTTTGAAAGCGAGCTCGTCCGCGAGCTGAAAAGCCTGGGCGCTGTTCCGATCGGGAAAACGACTCTTGTGACCAGCGGCTGGGCCCCAGAAACAAACAATAACATACTCGGATACGCGCGAAACCCGCACAATCAACGCCTATCCACCGGCGGCTCTTCCGGGGGCGAAGGAGCTATGCAGGCTCTCCGAGGCAGCGTGTTTGGTATCGGAACCGATGTCGGAGGATCCGTGTCCATGCCTGCATCATTTCAGGGAATTTTTGGCTTCAAACCATCCGTCGGCCGGATGTCTTCCAAAGACATTGCAGGCATCTCTCCTGGACAGCAGGTCATGCCGGTTGTCACGGGAATCATGGCGCACTCAGTCCAAACTCTGCGTCTGGTCTTCCGAGCGCTTCTCGATACCAAGCCATGGCTGAATGATCCGTACTGCTTGCCCATTCCTTATAGAGAGGCAAACGAGTATGTCCCTGGGAAAGCGGCCGAAAAGCCGTCGTTTGGCTTTTTTGCCAACGATGGCATTGTCACCCCCCATCCTCCAATTTCGCGCGCGATGAACATTGCCAAAAGGGCGCTCGAGCATGCAGGCTACGGGCTCGTCGATTGGCAGCCGCCGTCGTATAACGAGAGCATGGCAATACATGTAAGGCTATCCAATATTGACAAAACTCATTGTTTTACTAATAGTCTGTTAATGTAGGGACCGATTGCTCGTGGCGATGGCTGTCCGGATGCGTACGAAGCCATCAAGCTATCTGGAGAGCCCATCATACCAGAGATCAGACGCGTCTTTCCTGGAGGGAAACCGCTGCCATCTATATCGCTACGGGAACACGAACAGTTTGTGGACAGGATGAAGACGTACCGTTCAAAGTGGAACGACTACTGGCGCTCTTCTGCTCGGAGAACCGACAACGGTAAGACGGAGATATAAACCAATCACATCGCGGCACCTTGTCCTGCTCCGCCCAGATACTGACAAGGCCGGGCAGGCCTCCCGGTGGGCGCAGTTTTGTCCCCCGTTTCCCCGTATGCTGCAGTCTTGCCGGGCAAGTTCTACCATTCGCGTAAGTTTTGCTTCGTAAGCGCGGTGATAACAATATGACTGACTGCAGGAATAGCGTATTCGAGTGCCCTGAACGTGCTCGATTACCCAACGGTCGTCATCCCAGTCACGTTTGCCGACAAGGACGTGGATACTGTGGCCTCCGACTTTGAGCCGCTAACCAACGCAGACAGGATCAACATGGAAGCTTGTAAGTTACTCAATCCGTGACCGATCATGTGGTGTGTTAGGCGTAGACTGTAGGTACCGAGCTAAATTTGCCTGAAAGATGACCCCTACGTTTACGACGGCGCGCCAGCAAGCATCCAGCTATTTGGGCCGCAGCTGGACGAAGAACGGCTCTTGTCCCTGGCGCAGATTGTAGTGGACGCTCTCGAAAAGTACAAAAGAAGACGCGATCAGTTGATTTGACGACATTATGGGTGCCGTCGCCCGGACGGTTGTATCGTTGGAGCGCCAAGTTTTGGGCCGCAGCTGGACGAAGAACGGCTCTTATCCCTGGCGCAGATTGTAGTGGAAGCTCTCGAAAGCACAAGGCGTGATTAGTTGATCCGATAGCTGTTAGGGCGCGGCGTGCCCTCCGTGCACTTGCAGCATTGTCTTTCGTGTGCGCTGGGTGTATGAGACCCCTATCACAATCAGGATCCCAGTCCTGATTGCCCTGGCTTTTTTAGCAGGGGTGGGAGGGGTCTTCTTCTGTCTAACCGCCTTGACACCCGTCAAGGTTATAGCGGGGCCGCGGGTCCCGGGAATCGCGACCCGAGGCGTGGGTCCATTAGTGAGTTCCTTGCAGCGGCTGCTGGGCTGGCCTAGAAATTGCTTGCTGTGTTTTCGGGCCTTGGCTTTTCCGACTTCTTTGCTCAGGCCAATAACTGCCGCAGGAGCTGATCCTGGGGTTCCTGCACCATCGTCCTGTGCGATAATTGTGCAGATCGGTCATGATGGCAGCGGGGTAACGGCAAATCCACCGATGGCGATCTGGGAGAGAAGCGAGGGTTAGGGGCGTTGCAGTTCCGGGTTGGAAACCAAGCCTCCGAGGGTGTTGCAAAACGCAAATGATGTATAAAAGTGACTAAATGTCTTGGAACAGCAAAACCCGCAGACTTCCTTATTACTAACACGGCGACTGGCAAGACCTCCCCAATGGGCCGCGGCGCATACGATACGACCGGCGTGCCTAAACCACCTCCGCCGAAGCCCAGGTGATCACATATCGACACACGGAAAATAGCCGATCTCTGGTACCAGCTCCATCAACGGCGACCTGCTATCACCCATACACCCGTCTCTCCCGCTATTTTAAAATGTGCACATGGACAGACGTAAGTCGTTCCGTTTAGTTTCGTCCCACGAAAACCGCTAACCGAGCCACCCTCCAGCGAGAATAGTCCTGCGGTCACCACCGCGTCGTCGCCGCCGAGTGGTGCCCCAAATTTATAAGAACAAAGCTGCCGTGCCAGCCCCAGGTGGAAAACAGGGACTACAGGCGAGATGAAATCTGCAGTATGTTCTGCCAACCCACTTCCTCGGTACTGGCAACCTCTCTAATCATCCTTGCTCCATCCTGAAATAGGTGACTGCGTAAAGCGGGAGCCCGTGGCATGGGAGAACATGATCACGCCCCGTCAATAAAAGGGGGCCCCGTCTCGCCTTCAAAGTCACGGCCATTCGAGCGCGCCAGCTAGACCAAAAACCAGTACAACAAACATCAAACACAAAAATGCAACGCCCCAGAGTGGCATGTATGATTGGGGCGCAGTTTGTTGCCCCTCAGCTGTACCGCCCGGAGCTCTCAATAGTAGATCCTCTAGCGGCCAGTCAGCTCAGCCACGTTGGATTTGATGGATGTATACTCACCGTATCCGCGTCCGTACATCTTTTCGAAGATTCCCCAACTTGGATGATGCTTGCGGCAAGGAGTATTGTTTGGAGGGTGGTGGACGGGGGACGCTTGGTGGTCGCGCGGACGGGTGTGGTGCGATGTAGTTGTCTTGCAAGCCAGCGTCGAGCTAGGTCGGTTGGAAGATTGGTTGACAGAAAAGAAAACACGAGCAGCGACCCAAGAAGTACATTGCAAGTTGATCTTTGCTTTGCGGAAAGTACCTTCATGGATGAATTATTCATGCTTCCCTTGTCCTGGCCATTCTTATCTAGGCTTGGTTTGTTTTCCTGGTTGTCAGCTTGCCCCCCGACCGGCAGCTTGACCCCGGCAGGTATCCTTATCGCCTCAACACGCGGAGCGCCGCCCTGCCACACCGTGCGAAAGTTCCCCGCAGGTAGGTGTGCCGGGTCGCCTCTCAGGCCCCCGCAGCCCTGCACGATTATTTAGGAGCCCTGTTTAGATAACGGCGATCCGGATGGGAGTTGCGGAGACGGCTGGCTTGGCCCATTTCCACCTTCTCTCCCTGCCTGTGGAATTTGACAAGTGTGACCAAAACAACTGAAAACAGAGTACTCCACCCTTTCGAACTGCATGCCGGCGATCCTGTGATAAGCCAAGGCACACTAAAATCGCTGCTCTGCACAGACCCCGTTCCGCCGCGAGCCCGCCGGGTGAATCGCTATTCACACACCAAAAACCACCACACCGCTAAAAGCGGAGCACGAGCGGGGGACCCGTTTGTCCGGAAAATACATAACGTGGATCTGCGGGCTTGGCTCAAACGCCTCTCGACTTCTAATTGGTTCTCGAGTTTCCACCTCAACCTCCTGATTTCGTTTTCTGCGGTTGCCCACTACTAAACCTCAGATTTTCGTTTTTCTGCGGTTGCCTACTACTAAACCTCCAATTTTCGGTTTTCTGCGGTCGCCCACTACTGAACCTCCGATTTTCGTTTTTCTGCGGTTGCCCATCTCGACCTCCCGACTTTGTTTTGCATTTACCCAATGCTATGCAACAACTCCTTAACCAGATACATGCATCGATATGGGCTTCGCCTAAGCCTACGAAGGAAGACATCGAACGTTTTCTTGACGAGGCGGCAGGGGCTCTGAAAGCCCGCAGAGCAGTTCACCACCAGGCATTACACGATGAAGACCGTCATTTTCAACAGGCCGACCTAACTAACCTAACGAAAATGATACTTTTCGTCTTCAACCAGCAGCCTAGCGCAGCTGATGATAGAAAACGAAGCAGCTTGAAAAAACTCGGGTGTAGAAACCTCATCGCTCTCGGCCTGACTCTCAAGATCAAGGAACTGAAAGATGTGGGGGTAGGGGTGATCGACGATCTCGTCACGGCCGGCCCGCACATCGGGGATAGGCTGGAAAAACGTATCTTCTCCAACCGTGACATTTACAATTGCGTTGTCGGCGTCGGGGCTGAACTTACAACTTCAGCCTACGAAAAATTCCTTTCTGGTCAGTTGGTTGTGAGTTCAATCCTGCAACCGTTACAACCCGCTGACAAATTAGACCTCCGCGGTCTGTGGCTTGCAGCGAGCGCGGAGCTACGGGGGACGAAAAGGAGGAAAACCACAGCAGCGAGCAGTGCAACCGTCCGCATTGCTGGTTTGCCAGAGCTCGACCCTCAAGCATCATCCACCTGCCATCCCCCACCGTCGCACGCCCTGCCATCGGATGCAGCATCACCTCTGCGCAGCCCTACTGTCCAATCAATGCCCCATCAGACCGAATCGGCACCTCCACCCCCGAACGTGCTGACGGCTACCCCGGTACCTCACCATGATCCAGTCACATCATCATGGCCTTCGTCCCGCACCTCGGATACGGGAACTCAAGGCCGCCTTCAAACCACCGCGCTGTGCAATGAAACCCCCCCGGCCGCGCACTCTGGTCTTACCTCCGAAGCTGCCCAACAACCGATCAACCAAGCCACGACTGCCCTTTTGGATGCAAGTACCCCCCACCCTTGCGATTACCACAAAATTCTGCACCTATTCGCTAACACCACGTCGGGTAACCAGAGCCTCGAACCAGTCGACGAATGGTGTCTGGACTTCAGTTTTATGGAATTTCTGCCTGGCGAAGTATCTTTTACCTTCTATCAACAGGGCTCTCATCAAGGAGGTTCCGCTCCCCATCCGCACTATTGATCATGTAGTGTTTTTGTTTTGTACCGAAGCGCCATTATGGCAATTCCCCCATTTGTCACGTGGATACCGTCGTTTTCATAGAGCTGGAGGATGTCACCAGCCTGTAGATCCACGGGCTGAAAATCGCGTACGATCGTGGTGGCTTCGGGGCCAGTGCTTATTCTCGACTTGCTGAGCGAAATCGTGGGATTTTTTCGCAGGTTTTCGATAGCGATTGCTCCTTCGACCTGATCCTCATCAAGTCCCTCGGCTTGGATGCTGTTGAAGTATTGCTGGTCAGCAGCTGCTGGCCCATATTAGCGTCGTTATAAACGTTGGCACCAGACCTTCGTGGCTCTTCTGGCGTTGGATAGTCGTTAATCAAGGCTTCCATTCCTCGTGGCACTCTAGCAGCCTGGGGTTCCAGTGGCTTCGGAAGCACAATGATCACCACCATCTGATTTTTGCTCAATATCAGGGCGTTTTCGACCCAAAGGCACTCCATGGCGTGATCGAAGGAAATGCTCAGCCCTTTGGCTTTGGCTTGTCCAACAACAATGGTATTAAACTTAACACCTCGTTAGGCATGGTTGGCAGCTGGGTAGACCTGTCGACTTACATAGTCCCTGTTGTATAACAAGGCAAGATCGTTCACTGGTTGCAGTAAATACGACTTCGGCAACCGCCATGTGCCTCTCCTTTCTTGCACCGGTGTCATATCTCGGGCGAAAAAGCGGACCCTACCAGCACTTTCCCGTATATCCGGCAAACGTTCGACTTCGAAAGGGGGATCCATGACGGGCCTGTTGAGCTTGGCTGTTGTCGGAGCCGGGATCGGACACCTGCTGAAGTCGGGCGGCAAGCGGGGCACTGGGCTGATAACACAACAGCACGCACGTGGTATTCCCGCCGCCCCTCTGGGCGCCGCCTTATCGCACCTTATCGCGTTTGATCAAACGGATTGGCCCACTCCAGAATGACGCCACCCCACCAAACCATCAGCATCGCCCCTCACCCCCGCTTAGTGATGCTGTGGGCCCTTCCCGCACGATCTTTCGATCCGTCCGAGCTGCGGGACGAAGTTCGCGAGTTCAAGAAAGAGTCGGAAAATCGTTCCTCCATCCCCGACTTCCCCTGAACTCCTCGTCCGGCGCCTCCCTTTTTGTATTCCCACGACCACTGATATGTCGCCGTCCTGGTCGAGGGTCGGTTCCTGATGAGGTATTGCTTGGCGATCCCGGAACTCGATTGAGCTGTTCGCGCTGCTTGAGCCGTTCTGGCTCGGGGGCGCGGGCGCCGTCGTGTTTTGACCGTGGGTGCACGAGTCCAATGAACTGGTCGTAGTCCATCAGAATTTCGGCGGGGAGCATCAAGTCTCGCGAACCCTTGAGTCAGGTCAGCTTAGCCCCATTGGCCCAGCTGTCTCCGCCCACCCGCAAAAGTCGATATGCCTTCGAGGTCCGTCGATTTTGAACTTGGAAGGCGGCCCGGTGGAGCTACACGTAAATCGTTTCGCTGTTGGACCAGGCGAGGGCTTAGGACAGGTGCGTCGATGCAAGCGGCCTCCTTCGTCTTCTTGACGTGGTGGCCCGGGAACTCCCTTATCATGTCGGCCTGCTCGCCGGCTCATCGTACGTCCGCAGCCTGTTGAGGCTGTCCGGTTTGCACTGACGTATACGGCCGGTCCGGTTGGAAATCGCATCTCCGTGGTCTTCCCACCGCCTCCGGAAGCCGCTTGTACCACGGGTCCCAGCCCTCTTAACACTATCATCATGCCCACCCAAAATATAATTTTGTGTTCCTAAAACGGTGTCTGCTCTTAAATGGGGACTCGTGATACATTTTTCACTAATTTAAGCAAGCGCTTTAAAACTGGGAAAGTCCGCATCTTATTCTAAAAAGCCCATTTTTCTTCGGTCAGACTCCTTTAAGGTTTGCATAAAGCTCAAATCTTCTTCGGGAAGCGAAGCAAGCGGCGGCGGAAGAGGCGGCGACGGAGGAGGCGGCGACCACCTTACAGTAATTTCCGCTGCGGTTGGCTGCTTCCACATAACGGCAACGTTGGTTCCCTCCTCCTCGCCCTTAACTTTCACTGGCATGTCCATAACATGTTCAAACCCTTTTTTCGCGTACTGGGGTTCCCCCATTCGGCTGGCTTCGACCAAACAATATCCCCCTCCGGCCTCCTTCACAAACTCCTCAAGGAGCATCGCTGCAGCGCCGCGGCAACGAAAGGGACGATCTGTTACGAGCAGGTGCATGGTGAACCATTCTTGAATGCCGGCGTCCTTGATCCTGTCCCGGATCCACGCGCTGGCCTTTTCGAAGACGTCCGTTCGGGAGCCGACGAGCTTGAATTTTTCGGCGAGGTCCTCCGGGGGACATTCTGGTCCAAAGAAAGATTAGCAGATTAGTGAATCTGTATATAAAACGGGAGTCCGGAGAGAGGAGAGATATGGCGGAGCGAATCCCTCACCATCTCGCTGCTCGGCAGGAAAGTGGCTCTCCTGGGTCCAGATGGCGAACGCAATTACGTTCCCGTTTT